TTAAACTTCTGGCTGGCCACGTCTTAGGGTCGTCACTGCCCCACTAGGGGGGGAGTGATCTGTAGCGGTAAATAAATCCCCAAAATAAATAGCTCTAAGTTTTCGACATTGGATGCTGACCATATGTTTTAGTGGACTCATCTAGCTGAAGGCGCTCGGTCAGGCATCCGCACCAGATCACGTGTGGTAACGCCGTGCTCAACATCAACCGCAATCGCTAGCCAGATTAGATCAGAGAATTCCGATATATTGGTCATCGCCAAATATACTCTTCCGATCTCCTCGACTCTGTCTTTTGATTTCTCTTGGTGGGAACGAAATATATTAGGTGTTACTGGTAGAAGCGTTGTCAAACACTGAATACCTGTGACATCAACAGTGTCAAGGCCCTATATATGAGTGAGGGGTGCTAATTGCTCAAATTTGCCGTTAATTTCGGATAAAGAGTTTTGTAGCTGTCGGATGTCATTACTATATCTATCAGTATTTTGGTGTGTATGAGATGGACCACTGAACTCTTTAGTTCTTGAAATTTTAGATTTAGGCCTTGGTAGAACATACTGTCTAGTAGACTGTGCTGACTTTTCAATGCACGTAGGTATAGTGTCTTGAATGTCAACCAGTCTTACCGTTGGCATACTGCACCTAGAGATAGAGGGTTGCGACGTGGAGAATCTGTCTTCAGTTTTCAGTAATAAGGTTAGTAGGTTGGTGAACCCGTATTAATCCTGACACATTGCTTTCCAGTGAAGGTCCAGCTTCACCTTGAAAGTATTCACTGATGCGGCTGATACCACTTTTTCGGGTAAGGCGTTTCGATGAGAAAAACGGGTCCCCAATTTAAGTTTATTAGATCGCGGTCTATCAACCTTTTTGCTATGACCACAGAGATTATTAGTGCTGGAGGTAGCAAAATGGTAAGACATATTAACACCCAATTCATAATTAAAGATAAGAAATGTTAGTATAAGGTCACCTAGCGTCCTGTGATACGACAAAGGGAGAAGGTTTAGGCGTTTTAAACGCTCATCGTAAAGGAAGGTTGGAAAAACCTTTCACTTATTTCGTTCCCACACGCTGGACACGCTCAAGTGAGTTAGTATCCTTCACCAGACATGGGCTAGCTGCTTAGATACAGCACTCTAAATTTGGTCTTACGCAGGTAAAATATAAATTCCGAAACATTTCCTCGTCAAAAGGTTTGAACGCTCGGCGAAGTGACCATAACGCACGAAAACCTTTAACAGCGGCTACTTTGCAATGCGTAGTTGCTTTTAAATCATGACTTAATACTACTCCTAAGTCTTTATGCTCTTGAACGCAAGGAAGAGGTTTACCCTCAATAGTGTAACGGTAACTATTACCGTGGCCGATGTGCATTAGTACACTCTTCCTAGCATTGATTTCTAAGCCCCACTCTCGAGCCCATCTAACTGAATCGTCTAAGTCAGCTTGAAGATCCACATGATCAGCCGCACTTTTTATTGTTCTCCAGATTTTTACATCATCCGCAAACAATAATGTCGACGACCTAAGTAGCAGCGGTAACTCATTAACGCAGAGAAGGAAGAGCAGAGGGCCTAAGATGGTGCCTTGAGGTACACCACTTTTGACCGGCTTCCAATCGGATGGCGTCCCATTGACCCTCACTCTCTGTCTGCGGTCACATAAGAAATTTCTTATCCACTCATGTACAGTACCTATTATTCCGAAGCTCGTGAGCTTCTGCATAAGACCTACGTGTGAAACCTTGTCAAATGCTTTGCTAAAATCTATGAATATCACATCGACAGACAGACCGTTATCTAGGGCTGCTGTCCAATCCTCCCTCGCAATAAGCAAGTTAGTCAAGCATGAACGCTTGTTACGAAATCCGTGTTGCTCAGGAGCTAACAGATTGTGTAAATCTATGTGGCTTAACAATTTAACCCGAATTGTCTTTTCAAATAACTTAACGACTATGTTAGTTAGACTGACAGGCCGGTAGTTAGATACTATCTGTCGCTGAACGTCCTTAAATATATGACTGACTATAGCATCCTTCCAATCTCTAGGGAGTTGAGCGAGTGAAAGGGACATGTTGAAGAGTGTCGCGAGCGGTTTTGAAATAATGTCCGCAAGAGATGACAGCAACCGTGGATGTAACCCGTCAGGGCCCGGTATCTTACCAGGTTTGAGGTTAGTTATCAACGGAAGGACAGTTTCTTCAGTCAACTGTACAGGTTCAATGGTTGGTATCACGGTGTGAGTGGGACATGTGTTTGTTACAATAAACGTAGAGAAGACTTCGCTAAAATAGTTTGAAAAAGTTTCAGCTTTTGCTCGATTTGATTCAGCTAGTATTTCTGAATTTTCGTGTAACAGTAACGGAGGAATACCATCACTACGTTTCATTCGCCGTTTAACATATAAAAACAATCGTTTCGGACAAGTACGGCTATCATATATCAACTGTCGTTCGTAAGTGGTAAGGAATTTGGCTATGGTTTTCTTACAGATATTACGGAATTTTTGGTACTCACGCTAAAATGTTGCATGGCCTGTCAACAAGAATAAGTCCCAGAAGTGTTTTCTACGCTCTAACAGCTTCCGGGTTTCCTTATTAATCCATGGAGGGCAATGTGATAGCTTACGTGCTGACCATGGGATAAACCGCGACGTTACGGACTCGAATGTAGCCTTAAACTTACTCCATTCATCTTCGATCGATCCGTCCGCGTCGACAGACCAATCAGTCGAGATAGCACAGTTTCTGATTTCCGGAATATTAGCTCGCCAGATATTGGGACGGGGTGGAGCAGACACAAATCGTATACCATGTTTCCTAAACTTAAAGTGAATCACAACGTGATCACTGTTCACTAGCGGGGAAGGTGCTGAATGTCAAAGACATCCTCATAGTGGTGGGTGATGGCGAGGTCCAGCAGTGATGGACCATGTTTCAATCCAATATGTGTCGGTTTCGTGATACATTGTACAAGTGCACACTGAATAACGGTAGATAAAAGATCGCTATCGAAACCTCCACCTGGAGCTGTAAGCTCTATCCAGTTGATATGCGGTGCGTTGAATTCCCCAATGATGAGACAACATTCTGCCGTACTCCAAGAACAGATGTGTCTTAAGATAGAGTCGTCGGCAAGACAACACGGACTACGGTATATTCCCCCTATAGTCACTAACCCATTTCTAGATTTAATCTTACAACATGCTACCTCACATGTGCCACTGATATGAGCCTCCGATATGGTTGATTGTATACGAAAGTGATCCCTAACGTATAACATCATGCCTCCCCCTTGCGGCTTACAGATATAACCTGCAATCAAAGGAGAACATTCTATATCTACGGTGAGTCAAGTTTCTGTAACAACAATTATATAGGGACATAATTCTTCCACCATCAGACTTAGCTCGGACGTTTTATTTCTAAGACTACGAGCGTTCGTGTAGCACACACTTAAGGTGTTTTGGCAATCAATCGTTTTACCCATACAGGCCTCGGAAGTATTGGCTTCCAAGACCTGACTACCCGAAAACCCTTAATGGTAAGGTTGTTTTCGCCGTTTAATGTGCGAGTCCTCAACTCCGTATGAGCATTCTTCCACTTGATTCGATCCTCAAGCGGCCAATCTGGTCGAATACGTATATTTGAGTCACGAGTTTTGGGTACGTTTTTCAGTAATACGTCTCTTTCTTCGAAACTCCCGAGAACCAGCTTCAGGATTCTTCTTGGTTGGGTCTCGCCTCAAACCCATTTACCAAATCGTATTACTGTTGTAATATGTACCCCTAAAACCTCTTCACGTAGTACGTTTCTTACCACAGATTCCACTGACTGCAGGTCATGTGCATGTCTTCTAGCAGGGTCGTTATCTTTCGACTCCTCTAGATTCCAAATAATTAAACTAGGAAGGGGTTTAGCTTCCTTTGAAATTGTGTTAACAGCTTTCGACCGTGACGATAGATCCTGTATATTAACTTCTGGTATCTTACGATTAGTTTTTATTGTAACAGTCCTGGGAGTCGAGCGAGTGACTCACAACAGTGTTAGACGAAGCTTTACTATGGGACTTTGGCGCAGTGGTCTGAGAGTCCACCAAGGACTTATCAAGTAAACGGTCATTAGTTTTGGCTGTCTTTCCTACTCTTCTGCGTTTCCGTGTCATCCATATTTCATCAGTCGTAGCATCCACATTAGAACCACTCGGGACAGTAATTGTCTTATTTGGGTCGCCGGTTGCTGCTGTAGCAATATGGCCACCAATATCTAATGAGGTGTCACTCATTGATTGTTTCGGGGTAGACGGTTTAATAGCGGGTTGCACAGTTAGATGTCTAGCTTGCTCCGTGGCAGCACTAACGACACTAACGCAATCTTCGCCATCAGTACCAATGTTGCCAGCACAGCCCTCATCAGCCTTCTTATTAGCCAATACCAGGAGGCTAATTGCTTCCTGGATGAGTAATGTTTTGCTCGAGCAACAAAAAGCCAATGACAGTTGGGCTTTGAGCACCTTCTATACGCAGTGGGACTTAATCGAGTGCACATCTTATGGAACCACTTATTACACTCATCACATTGCATCCCTTCCTCCACAGGGAATAAGCAATATGGTTGTCCAAATTTGTGAGCAAATCTAGCCATCTTAAAAATCAACTAGAACGGTGTCAAAAACAGGATATGTAAAAGGATTCTCAAACCTTAACTAAATAAATCAAGCAAAAGTCGACCAAGTATGCTTCGATGCAATAAATACACAAAAGCAAAATCGAAACACTCAATACAATATCACTTTAACTGGGGTAGATGCAATTAAAGTGTAAACAATAGTTTTGATGCGTAATTTGCGATCAAAACAGTTAATTAACTCAACGAAAACAATACCACTGTCCGTTTAAATAAAGCATGCATCATCCCGATGGCACCGTCTTCGTTACTTGAAGAATGAACGTTATCAGACGTGGTGTGGCTGAACTTAATTCAAATCTAAAAATATCTTGATTTGACCGCTTCTGAAAATTTTCACGAATTGTCGGTGTGACGCACCAATCATCTTGCGACAGTTTGACCTTCAAGTGCTCGCAACCTCCAACGGTGGACGATACCCCTGAAGCGTTCACTTTTTGCCGTGCCTTTTACCGTCCCATTGACAGCTCAGAAATATTCAAGATATTCAGTGAGTTTAGTTTCTAGTTCATGACCTAAAAGTATGGTATACACAGACATATATGTTCTTCACAGTAAACAGTTGTTTCTTGGATTTACCCGACCCGTTTTTCACCTTGTAAATTCAGTGTGGATTCTTATTTTATGTGTGTCGAGTAGTATCGGCCGAGAAAAATCGATCAATTTTTAAGCTACCGTGGTCTGTAAGTATTGGGATCCAGTTAGCTATTCTTTGTTTACATTTGTATTTTCTATTGTCACTGTAAAGGTTGTAGTATAATTACACAGAACAATGATCGAGTCTCCATTCCGAAGTTAATTCCCAATGAAGAAATCATCCATAAGCTTCTCTTTATCAAAGTACAAGCGGTCGGGTTATCTCATTTGGACCAGCCTTCTTATGAGTGTGCCTGATAAAACAGCTGGTGAAATGCTTGCTTCTCGCATATAAGTTGAATGCTGGCTGAATTAAAAAAGCCTTAATGTACAGGTTTCTGAATGTTTCACATAGTTTTCTGAGTCCACAAACCACGGAAATCCGCTATTCTAGAATATACGTTGTTTTTCAAGTCTTGACTTTATCCCTAAACCAATCTGTAGGAATGCAGCTCATGACCGCTTGGGATGTAAAAATTTGTATCGTGTTTATCATAGATAAAAATTTTTAAAGAGGCACTAGTCAATGTTTGTCGATTTTGGGACAGTTTTACCAACTTATTCTGTTCGTCCTAGCGCTCTCTAGCAACCCGTTCATTTCGTGTCTTTTGATTGATACCATTAAGTTCTTTTAAGGGTGATGAGGACAAAATCAATGTCATTTACATACACTAGAAGAAAAAATAAACCTGAGACTATGCTGCGGAATTTGGTTTATCACTTCAGCCTGGGAGTTTTATGTCTCAACACTTTCTACCTGCGTCAAAATAAAGGCTCGTTTATCTGTAGTAATAAACTGTCACTTACGCCGATATCTCTGGTCAGGCAACCATCTAGTACTTAAAACGTTTTTGCGGACCTTAGTGATACCAGTGGAGCCCTTGTTTGTAATTGGCTTATGATCCCATGACATGTCAACTTTCCTATGCTACTAATAGTCCATTTGGTTATGGATAAAATGTGTTGCTTCTCACAGAGAATTGAGTTTTTCTACAAACATCTGAGTAATTATCCACGAATAGTCTCTGAAATCCCAGTGACCACTTTATTTGCACTTACGGCAAGGTAATTTTCAGGCTTGTGCCGGGTTCTGGTCTTGGAATCAGGACAGTCTTACTAGTCGCCTGGTTGTATGTTTCGGGCTACAAATATGTCTAGACACTACAGTTTAGGGACTAAAATTACAAATGGCTATAATGGCCTGGAGAATCTTTGGTCTGATTGTGTTAATTTACTCCTATCCATGAATGATCAATATGTGGTCAATCAACGGTGATTTTTGTCGTACCTCATCCCTTCCTTCACTTGTTGTAACAGGGTGGATATTGTAGTGGTATCGATTGGATTTTTAAGTTTACGGTGGGTGTATTAAAGTCTCTTAAGAATAAATATATATCACTAGAAGACCATTCAAGAGGTTCTTTTAACAACGTATCATTTGCTTCTCAGTTTTGGCTGCAATAAACCTAACTAACGATTTTTATCATTTCTATTTTAAGTGGGAACTGGTTCATTAGTTATCGCCTTGGCAATTGTGAGGGGTATGTCGTCTCTGATGATAAGGATTACTCATCTGTGTTTACGATTTGGAGTTCCCTCCACCCTTAGTGTTCTGACTTTTTCGAAGTTTGGCCCACTGTCGCCTGTCCTTTTAAAGAGCCGTTCAATCTTTGTTTTGGCAAGACATCAGAGAATTGAAATTCTAAGTTTACTCTTGTTTTATTGTAAAAGTAGTTGATTTATGATAACTGTTAGATTCATGTAAAATATCATTTAGTTAGCATTTTTCGTCACAGTATAGGTATCATTTATATACCTCTTGTATAAATGGAGTATACGAATGTGTTCGAAGAACAGGATATTTTAGATTGGCCGTTAAACGATTTGCTGTAATTATGCTCAGAGGTGATCCCATATAAACTCCGTCGATTCACCGATTCAGCTCATCATTCAGACTGAATTGCACCTCGAGAGTGCAACATGAGAGTATTTATCCGTCAAGGCTGTCCACTTTCTCCATTTTTGTTTAACTTAATTGTAGACCTACTGACGGAAATAACGTTCTCGTCGACTGAATTCTCGGGTGTTGTTCTCTTTCCAGGAGGTCCACTTATCGACTTAGAATACGCAGATGACATAGTCCTGTTTGGGGAAGACGCTGATAAAATGCAGTCTTTTGGTAGTACTAAGCAACAATGCCAGAACGTTTGGGATGCGCTTCTCTCCCTCTAAATGCAAGTTGTTGCTTCAGGACTGGTCTGCGTCAACACCTGAACTAAGGATAGGGAGTGAAGTAGTCGAACGCGTTGAAAACTCCACTTATCTTGGAAGTCTGATCAGCCCTAATGGGTTTGTGTCTGACGAAATCTCAGCACGGATTCGAAAAGCTCGTTTGGCTTTTGCCAACTTACGTCACCTATGGCGAAGGCGAGATAACCGTCTACCAATAAAAGGACGAGTATACTGAGCAGCATTCCGTGCTGTTTTACTTTACGGCTGCGAAACATGGCCTTTAAGAGTAGAAGACACCCGTAAGCTACTAGTATTTGACCACAGATGCCTTAGAGATATTGCTCGCATCTGCTGGGATCACCGGGTAAGTAATAGTGAGGTTAAATGCAGGGTATTAGGGAATGATGGTAAATCAGTTGATGAAGTTGTGTCTTCATCGACTGAGATGGTTAGGCCACGTGTTGCGTATGCCTGAACACCGATTACTACGACGCGCAATGCTGACTAGTGTTGGGAATGGTTGAAAGAAAGTTAGGGGCGGCCAAACCAAAACGTGGCATCAGTGCTTGAAGTCACTAACTTCTAGTCTGAGTCATGTTGGTAGATGCAGACTACATGGTTTGGGTCCGCGTGACTATCGTAACCAATGGTTGGAGACTCTTGGTGACATGGCTTAGAATCGACCAAAATGGCGTAGGTGTATACACTATCCGTCTTCCCTCAAACTAAAAAATTAAAATCGCTTCATATCTTTCTTTCTATCAACTAATTCTTTCTTTCTGTACCATATCCTTATATGCAATCATTCTTTTATATATTCTATGAATCCGGTGTTCATCTTGTAGTGCTAATGATGTATGGCAACTTGGACCGATGCACATATGTGCTTGGTCCTACGTTGTATCTGAGTGACTTATCTTAAATAGTGTCAAAGATTTTGTCTTTACCATAGTTGAATACAACGCAAATAGTCTATGAGGAGGAAATAAGGACATAATCCAGTGAGATTTTTTCTCTTCCTAGAAATACCGACGTCTCCGACTGTACCTACTGCCTTGACGTGGTGGTCGAGCTTGCCTATCGTGGTAACCCAACCGAGCTATATTGGCTGGAACGTAGGTTCCATTAGGTCCTAAAATGCTAGGCTGGTCGGTTGGAGAACGGTAAGACTAAAAGCAACAACTCAAGGTCAGGACGAAGTCATACTGCTGACTGTAGAGGGGTGTGACAGCAGTAAGGTGTTTCCCTCGGGCAACCAGCATCTGCAGCGATGCTGCCTTCTCACAAGGAAGAAAGCGGTTAGAAAAGGTCAACCCTAAAAATGTCACACCTCACCTTATTTCATGGACTTCCGTCCCCTTTGAAGAACGGAGCTAGCACGTTAAAGACCTCCTACAAAAAGGCCGTGCGCGACCGGCCTCAAACAGTTGTCCCTTGGGCTCTACGGTCACGCTCCCAGGTCGCTAAGACCAACATTAATCGAACTTTTTTCGGGTTCCTCAAGAAATAGCCTTCCACGGTGTGGGCAGCCGGGAAGTGACACCAGCCCTCATACCTGTAACAGCACACGAGACCAAGTTGGTCACATTCAAATCCTTCCTACATTTTCTAATAACTCTCCTATCCCCACGACTAACCCTTATCACGTCCCTTTACCACCTCGCACTGCTAGGGTACCCGATTCGAGTACTCGGTACGTTATTCCTGGTCTCCTGAAACCACGCTCTAAACTACATGTAGGAGCTTTTAACGTCCAAACACTGTGCCAAACAGGACAGCAGGCTTCCTTAGCTAGAACTTTAGAATCTCGCGCCATCGATGTTTGCTGCGCCTCCAAAACGTGCATACAGGATCTGATTAGCTCCATTCATTTGACCTCGCCATTTCAAACCAAAGAACCAACTCGATTCACACTTCGCGTATCTGGAAGCCCAGATTCTGCTTCGCGTGGCCTCGCCGGCGTAGGTATAGCATTGAGTCCTAGGGCAGAACTAGCTCTCTTAGACTGGATCCCAGTAGACAGTCGCTTGTGCACTGTCCGACTAAACGAAGCAGTAAGGGCCCGGAAAGATAGGGACACTCGTCGTTGTCTCTTCGTCATCTCTGCCTACTCTCCCACTGACTGCAGCTCAGATGATGTAAAAGATGAGTTTTACAGGAAGCTTTCCAACCTGGTGACTTTAATGCTCAAGTAGGTAAACTAAGCGAAAGGGAAAGACACCTGGGTGGATCTTATGGTGTCGTGACTCAAAGGACAGATAATGGCGACCGTCTGTTGCAGCCATGTCCAGATAACCGCCTGTTTCTTGCAAATACTAATTTTTGATTGTGTATTACAACCAATGGGAGAATAGATTAAAGATTGCTGTGCAGACATGTGCTCAATCAGACTCACACAGAAAATTTCATAGTGGATTAAGTGTGTAAATTACAATAAGCACATAAATAATACAGTAGTTGAATGGGCTTACTACATGTCTATCAATTAAGGGACAAGTATACTGTGCAACAGTTCGTTCTGTTCTACTTTACGCTGCGAAACGTAGCCATTAGGAGTAGGAGGTACTCGTAAGCTACTAGTATTTGATCACGGATGCCTTAGAAATATTACTCGCATCTGCTGGGATCACCAGTCAGTCAGTTTGTCTGTAATAACGTAGAACTTCGTACGTACGTACATCGGTTCGAGTTGCCATACCACATTAGCACAGAGATACAGTTACCGATCCAAATCCCATAGTGGTAGAGGTAGTGAAATTATAAGCAGTAATCGAAAAGAGGTTTGAAGGTGTTATTCAAAGAGTATGATCCAATGAAATGAATTTGCAAAGAGAAAAAAAGGGACATAAAGAATTCAGAAGATTAGGATTTGGGAGAACACAAAGAGTGGATGCACCTGCTCCATTGCAAACGATTTTGAGCCATTTCACTCAAGGTCTCTAACCATCGGTTGCCATCATCTCGCGGTCCCCAACCAGATAGTCTACACCTGCCAACAGTCCACTTGTCAGTGACTTCACGGATTTGTGCCATGTTTCGGTCTGGCCGCTCCTAGCTTTCGACCAACCTACTCCTACACCATGAAACACCGCACGTCGAGGCAGTCGGTGGTTGGGCATACGTAACACGTGTTCCAGCCATCTCAACTGATGAAGTTTCACTACTTCATCAATTGACTTGCCATTCTTACCTGGTACCCGTTTCCCAACAACTACATTACTTACTCGGTGATCCCAGGATATACGAGCAATGCTTCGAAGACACCTATGATCGAATACTAGTAACCTACGGATATCCTCTACTCTTACCGGCCATGTTTCACTGCCATAAAGTGAGACAGAAGGAACTCTACTGTGCCGTAAACCCGTCCTTTGGTTAGTAGACGGATATCTCGCCCACGCCATAAATGACGCAAGCTGGCAAAAGCTAGTTGAGCCTTCTGTATCCGTGCTGAGTTTTCGTGACACACCAGACCACAAGGGCTGATGAGACTCCCAAGACAAGTGAAGCAGTCGACACGCTCAACTACTTCACTCCCTACCATTAGTTCGGGTGTCGATGCAACCCAATCCTGAAGCAACGACATCAGCACAAACGTCATATAGAAGTGATTGGTTCGAATTTCTCCATATGGGTTTCACAGCTTGTCCTGTACACCTCGATGTTGATTGGTTCTTGTTGACTTTAAATTTGTCAGTGTTTACTTCTTTGTTTCGGTTTTGTTTTTCATTGGTTTGACTTTTGTTCCTATGTTTGTGCATAATTTTCCTGATTGGTTGGAAAATTGTGCACAAACATAGGGACAAAGGCTCCACGACCGAACCATCCAGGTCAGAGAACAAAACTCCATCAAAATCATCCACCTGAGCTACAAATCTTCTCCACCATCTCAATGGCATCATAAGAAGGCGGTTACAACCAATGTATTTCAGAATGCAAAATTATGTTATTCATTATTTATTTAGGATTGTTGATCGAAGTATTTTTTTGTTTTTATGATATTTTTAGTTCGACATTCTATTTCTGTATTTCTTGAATTCTTCCTTCTGATAAAGGTTGATAAAAAATGTTCCATTATTTTCAGACCATCTTGATGTTTCATGATCAAGTAGGCATTTTCAGCTGATCTCTCCCAATTCTTCACTTAAAATATTATGCACTCAAGGTTCGCTATTTATTGGAGAAACCAAGGAATATTTTTACAACATCGTTTATGTTTCTATTCGTCTAATCATCCCAAGCAATCACCAACTTACAACGAGGTTAACATATTGATGATCGATCGGAATTTTCAGAAGGTCCTCTTTGATTGTCAAAATACGACTATCAAAAGGCTTCATTTGAAATACTCCAAGAGTTCTGTCGCCTGGGAATTGACATTACATCTAGTAGACACTGCAAAAACCCGCTTTATTTTAGTATTCCTGATCTTAGTGGAAGCAATGTTAAAGAACATTTAGACTCAGTTGCAAAAGAGCTTTCTCATCCTTATATGAAATTGTTAGAGAGTTTTGGTTCCCCACCAGAACTACCTAAGGTTTGGGAATCCTCGTCTGGATGGACAAAGTATGTATATGCATATGTTTAATTGCAGATCTATTAAAGATATAGAGGTGACAAAACATATTCAGTCGAGGCACCACTTGAGGATGCTCTTATTTTTGATACAGAAGTTCTCGTTAAAGAAGGTCACGTACCAACAATGGCAGTGGCTCTTACGTCAGACGGGTGGTATGTTTTAAATGTTGTTCTTCAGTTTTGTAGGTATTCTTGGACTTCAGAACGTCTTTCTGTTTACGATGATAATTGCTTAAACGATATCAACGCATTTAATTCTCTTATTCCTATCTATGGTTCAAAAAATAAAGATATTTCAAAGTGTGTTATTGGACACTTTGTTAGTTATGATCGTGCTAGAATATTGGAAGAGTATCTTCTGGATGTATGTACGTTTACTTAATTATTGTTTAATCATTAGGGAACTGGACTTCGATTTGTGGATACTCTTTCTCTTCATGTTGCTGTATCGGGTTTGACCAGTACTCAAAGGTTCCTTAAAACATCTGCAGACAAACACCTATTTAACAACAAGACGTGGCAAGAGTTTATTGGAAGGAAGAATGATAGACAACCACTAGATAGAAAGCCTAATACAGAAGCTCTTGTTATGGTAAGACAAAAGTACTTCATGTTTTTTAATCAGTGCTATTCCTGTATCATTCCCATGTTTAATGCCCTAATTCTTTTTAAAGAATTTAATTCTTGTAAATAATTTGGTTTTACTGCTTCTGTAGGTGACACATTTAGGAGTTTTTATTACTTCATTATACTAACGACTTTTAAAAAGGCAGTTCTCACTGAAAATATTTCATAGGATTCCAGTCTAGAATGCCACTATCCACAGATGATATGGGTATGAAGTTGAAGATTATGCATATATTGATCAGTAGTGCTTGTCAATTGCATCGAAATAACTTGACAGTTACGTAGTATTTTTCAGTATCTATTTGTGATCGAATTATTTTCTGAGATTTGAAGATTATTTCAGTCCATAAAGCTGAATTATTTAGATCATTTGATCCTTCGGGTCTAACTAATTTACGGTACTAACCAATATGACAAATCTTTCACTACCAACCAGCAGTACATTTTTTTTATAAAGTGGCTGAGTCATTACGGAGGATATCCTATTACTTTTGGAGTCGGTTTCGATTGCACTTAGGTCACATTTTAAGTGCGTATATTTTAATTTCCTGGTTAAGATACTCAGGAATTTCTGTATTAGGTTTCATTCAGTCTGCGCAGTAGTGGAAATCAAAGAAACGAGAAAGGTAGTGGTGATAGACGACTGTTAAAACTTAAAAAAGTATTAGAAAGTCAGCAGTTAATAGAACTATATCCGAAAAGATGGAACCAGTCTACATATCTGGAAAAATGTACGAAACGCTTAAAGGAAACAGTTCAATCGATCTTCAACTACTCTCCAGTTATCCACTTCTTAAACAACATCAGTGGGTGATTGATATAAGCCATCTGATTCAGCGATTTTGAAAAGGTAGTAGTTGATTTAGATCAAAGGAGAGGAGTTGGACCTGATGGATTACGTGTAGAAGAATTCGAGAATGACTATTCTTTTCAGTCTTTAATTTAACTGAGGCGTTGATTGAAGTCTGGTAATTATATGTAATCCTATATGGATGCTATCGGTCACTGGTCGTTTCAGTTTATAAGCAAGAGTAAAAGTAATCTAGTGATTTGAATTTTATTTACTCTTGTCATAACCACAGAGAAATCTATTTGACCAACATAGTATCTAAATATTAATCATCTGGAGCTTAACTGGAGCTCGTGAACAGAAAACTAGAAAAAACTATGCCGGTTTCTGATCTGAGTGTTGATGTATCGATCACATACGTATTTTCCGTCAAAATTCATGACTATATCTACCTACCTACGCCCGACTGTAGTTATACTTCTTGGTCTCAAGGCTAGATTCGACCGGAAAATTTTATGTTAGTGTTTGACACTAAATGATGTACCGAAAATGTGCATAAACCTTGTGAAAGGTCCTTGCGCAAACGTTGTTGGTCGAGTCTGAGCTCATGGGGGAGCGGTCATCAAATTATCAAGTTGCCCATCATGATGTTATGATCTAGTTCTATTCAGTCATAATCTTTCACTTTCTTACGCTCAGCCTCAACCAACCATGCGAGAGTAGATGGACTAATAATGCGTAGGAATATTTGTGTCAGAGGCCGAATGATGATGCATTTAAATCATTTGCATGTTTGTAAAAGTTATTGGGTCGATCTAGACAAATCTGTAGGTTATTGCCGTATGTAGGTGAATAATTTGCTCACTTAAAATAACATTCCCAAACTTGCATTTTCCACACAGCATATGGGGTTGAGACAGCTAATTTCTTTCCTTTTCCTCGGAATAGATTTTCCGTTCAGTATAATTTTATACTACTATCGATACTACCACTTCTACTACCTGACCATTTATCCTGTTGTTTACATTTCGTTGTATGGATGTGGCCCGTTCATTTGGGTTTATGTACATTTCCAGATTCTATGTCCCATAAGGCCGATTACTCTCTGTGTGTAGGTGTGGGGAGTTAGGTCAGTGGGATGAATACCTCGACATCTGAGGATAAGCACGGGATACAATGGAGAGCCCTGAATCAATTAGAAGATTTGGACATCGCCGATGACCAGGTCCTTCCATCCCATACACATGAACAAATGCTGGTGAAGACAACTAGTGTAGCACCAGCTTCTGCATTAGTAGCTCTCATTATACACAAGGGAAAAAGCAAGATCCTCAAATGCAACACCGAGAACACCAACTTAATCACATTGGATGGAGAAGCTTTGGAAGATGTGGAATCTTTCACATATCTGCCCGGATAAACATGGAGGATCCACTGAGGACGTAAAGGTGAGGATTGGCAAAGCAAGGGCCGCATTCCTACAGTTGAAGAACATATGTAACTCAAAGCAACTGTCAACCAATATCAAAGTGAGAATCTTCAATGCGAACGTCAAAACATGGAGAACTACTATAACCATCATTAAAAAGGTACAAGTATTTGTAAGCAGTTGTCTACATAAGATACTCAATATCCGTTGACCAGATACCATCAGCAACAGCGTACTGTGTGGGAGGACAAACCAGCTTGCAGCTGAAGATGGAATTAGAAAAAGATGTTGGAAGTGGATATGATATACATTACGGAAATCACCAAACTGCATCACGAGGCAATCCCTAACTTTGAATCATGAAGGGAAATGGAAAAGAGGGAGGGTCAAAGAACACACTATGTCGAGAATTGAAAGCAAATATGAACAGGATGAATAGAAACTGGAAAGGATTGCGCAGGACAGGGTTGGATGGAGAGTGCTGGTGGGCGGCCTATGCTCCTCCAGGAGGGGTAACAGGCGTAAGTAGTAAGTAAATAATCCAAAAAGCTGTGAAAACAACCGTGATATCTATGTAGTGGCCTTCAAATATCTGAATCCAGGTAGATCGTATGAATGATTGTTGTCAAAGTATACATTCTGATTATCCTCGTATATAATCATCGACTTAACTCACGTTAGTGAATAACGGAGTTAAATAAGTCAAATACGAGAATGGACTTCGAATACGTATATTTCATACAATCATTGATTCAGACAAACGATAGGAGAAACGAATCGAGGAAAGCGAAGTGACGAGAGCGAAGCGAAATGACGCGTGGTGGAGAAGGCGTGTGAGCCAACTCGATTTAACCAAGCGTTAATCGATACCCATAGTCACACAAAATAAGTTACAGACATTTGATTAGTGGGATAAAAAAATACACACACATATGCTCATATAAAAACGGTCAAAGCTGATAAGCGAATATTTAACAAAGTCAAAGTGTGACTCAAGAAGAATAAATAAATTAGCCTGTTCGGAAGCTATAATAAGCTATGTGGACTGAACATAGCAATCGATACTACATCTACTAGTAACTTAAACTAAAATGTTAGTGAAAATTAGATTTTAGCCCCATCTATTGAACTAATAGATGCTCGGATACCCATCTCGTCTGGCTCAGAACAAAATGATTGGAGGCAGGTTATATGTAGGTCGATCAAAAGCCTACGTAATGATCGTAAGCAGTGGAGGGTAGCGATAGCAGGAGAAATGGAAAAGGCAGCAGCGATGGGTAACAGTAGACAACTGTTCAGACTTATCAAGGAAATGACCATTAGAAATACGGCTGCTAGTGAAACTATTTCGGAAAAAGACGGGACTATTATTTACTCTCAATTCAGAAGAAAATAAATCAATGGACAGAACACTTTAGGAAACAGTCCAACTGGCGTTCAACCATATTTGAGGATACAAACTACTCCATATCATCCTCAAACGGGCTTACAGAGAGAAACAACGGACGTTAAATGAATGGTTGGCATCTAAAGGAGGAAATTGGGAGAAAGAATTACCATTGATTTTTCTGGCACATCGTTCCTCCATACAAGGAACAACCAAGAAGTCACCTTTTCTGCTATATATGGTAGACAGCCACGACTTCCTATGCATAATAAGATCTGCCCACAACAATAGAAGTGGACAACAACAAGGTCAAGAAAAGTGTGGAGGGATGTAATAAGAAACGTGGAGAAGAAACAAATATCAGACATAAAGAAGGCGGAACAGCAGAGGAGAACGTGGAAGCCTTTTGCAGTGGGAGACCTGGTAAATTGTAGAGAACGGAAAAGTAACATAACAGGGGGATCAGGGTCAGAAAAGCTGATCCCGAAGTGAGAAGGACCGTATATTGTCACGGAGAGACGTGGCTCGGTTTACACGATCCATAGAGAAGAAAAGCAGAAGCACGTAAATATCAGTCAACTGCAGAGATGGTTTCAAGATCATCACGAGTGCGAGTCACGAACAGCACCAAAGAAGACAGTGATGTGGCGATCGGAAAGACTACGACGACACCTTATTAAGAGGGGGGACGAGTATGGTGTGTGTTACTTATATTGAAATAAGTAGTGTATAACTCGAGTCAGGAATATAATGTCTGGCAGCAGAAGATTGAGAAGATCAAGAAGGAAAGAACGGGAATAGAAAGCAATTGATATGGAAATGCAGAAACAATGAAGTCTGGGACAACTAATGAGCATTTTGCAAATTAAGTTTTAAAGTATGGTTTTTCGATTTTACCAAGTAACTCGGTAAATTTGTGCTAAATATAATTCGGTTGTCCTCATATGTGTTCTCCTTCACTACAAAACAACGCACAAACAACTGTCCATTGGGATCCAGTCTAACACAATCTGTTCAGGCGTTCATGATCTCAGTCAACAACCTGTTCTGCTTTAGAACTTAATTCTATACATACACCAGCGAGGTCATAGGAAGTAGCAGTAAGGTCTTCAGATATTCGAGGGGTCAATCGTGATGGTCCTTTCTATTGACAAGGTGAAATCATATAAATGACTGTACTTGGGTCCTGTATATGTGTTTTGAAGACGCAGCATACACCGATGTTACTGGATTCTAGAGTCCTAGCTAAGGAAACCTTTTTTTCCCGTCTGACACAGTGTTCGAACATTAAAAGCCCCAACAAGCGTGACCTCAGATCAAGGGATAACTGCTTAGGACCAGTTGCACACCGCCTTTTCGTCAGAGGTTTTTGATGTGTCATCTCCACAATTCAAAAGGCCCTACCGCCGAAGACGGGAATCCATGAGGTAAGGTGAGGCGTGACATTTTTAGGGTTGATCTTTTCTAACCCCTTTCTTCCTTGTGAGAAGGCAGCATCGCTGCAGATGCTGGTTGCCCGAGGGAAACACCTTACTGCTGTCACACCCCTCTACAGTCAGCAGTATGACTTCGTCCTGACCTTGAGTTGTTGCTTTTAGTCTTACCGTTCTCCAACCGACCAGCCTAGCATTTTAGGACCTAATGGAACCTACGTTCCAGCCAATATAGCTCGGTTGGGTCATCACGATAGGCAAGCTCTACTGCTACCTCAAGGTAGAAGCAGCGCTTCGACCACATGCATCTCATTGTAATTTTTGGTTCGAAGAAATGTATCCCTGTTTATACTGCTGACAGATTATAGTTCTGGGCGTCATTGTTTTTTAGCTATGATTTCAATATCAAGTATCGGTCAAATCGATACCCTCTCTCATTTAATTGGAGTTGAACACCCTGGACTGTAAGATATGATCATTGCCTGCATAGCTGTAGATCCAGAAATAATGTGTGTAATAGCAGATGTCATTCGGAACACTCCAGTGTCATCAGGTGAAGTCAATGTAAGATTGTTCGAGACACAGTCCTACATAAAGTCAAAAAGTCCCACTTAGAAGGGTGGCCGTCGAAATTCATCTGCAAAGAATTTCAAGCGTTTTACCAGCTCAATCATTGATGACTACCTTCTGTTAGCTGAACGTGTCATATTCTCAAAGAAGCTGGAACCAGCAGTGCATGAACAGTTGCATGCAGTACATCCTGGAACAAATCAAATGAAAGCGCTAGCCCGAAGTTATGTGTACTAGCCGCATTTAGACAACCAACTGGATCAATCCTCTCGTCTTTATAACAAATGCGCATTGGCAGCAAAAGTGCCGCGGAAAGCAGAGCAGCAATCATGGTCAATACCATAGTCATCGTGGCAACGTATACACTTGGGCTCCACTGGACTACTTCATGGACAAACCTTATGGTAGTTGATGCATACAGTAAGTGGCCGAAAAATTTTCTTATGAAACATTCAACTGCAAGCTATACTGTCAGAAAACAATGTCAACTATTCAGTTGTTTCGGGGTTCCCGGGTTAATAGTTGGTGACAGTGAAACACAATTTAGTCTGCTATCTCAGAATTTTGTCCTTAGAAGAGAATTAATCATGTCTGAACACCTCCATTCCATCCGTAATACAATGGTCAAGTAGAACGTTTTATTATATTTAAAAATACTCTATAGAAACCAAAAGGGTGTTGGAACACTGAGGTTTTGGTGAGGTTCCCGCTCATCTGTCGTTCTACACTAAGCCCTCAGACAATTAATAGGATCTCTCCACCAGAAGCTTAACTGGGCATAAAAATACGAACACATTTCGATGCCGCCAGCTGTTGAGTCTCAACGATACGGATCAAGGGAAACACAATCTACATCATGGGGCATAAAGACGACTACTCATTATGGGTCGAAAAGTATTTCCTATGGACTATGGTAGCAAGCATCTTACATAGATAGCTGGTCGAATCGTGGAAAGTAAAAGAAATGCTGTTTACCAGCTGTCATTTGTTTCGCATCATGCTGACCAAATATAAAAGCAACTTTGGTCGCCAGCAACGAGACCAGACATTCAATACCTCTTGATGTTTTGCTGAAAACATTCGAATAAAAACCCCAGAAGCGTACAGGTCAGTTTTCGTGATGACAAAGAGTGATAGAACTTCTTTATTGTCTGAATGGTGGAAAAATCGATATCATAGACCAGTCACGCGTTTGCAGGTGGTCCCTGATACCAAATCCAATGGATTCGCTCAAAGGGGAAGTGTTAGCGGGATATACATTGGATTAAAGCATGTTCCGTGCACGGTTGGGCTCGAGCACGTTGATTGACCACTTAGCCCATCAACGTCAGCAGTTACTTACTATTTCATTATTATTATTATTATTATTATTATTATTATTATTATTACTAATGTTAGCTTTATTCAATATTATACTTTTGGTACAATATAGAATTCTCGGCATAAATTATTTCAGCGAGTTTCCGTTTCTTATTTCTTGATCGATATTGACCATAAATATTGAGCGATCGCCAGTTAAATGTTAGTATTTCAGAAATCGACATCTGAATAGTGTTCATTCTTCTCAATCCATATTGCCAGCAATCACAATGTCTCCGATTGTACATTTTTGTAACTTGTACTGAGAAAGGTCGTAAGTTTCTTCACAAACGCACCTGATTAGGTTGTGCAATGAATTGACATAATGATATTTTAAAACAATGCAACAGATAGCTTGTTGAAATATCTAGATGGCAGGAACAGATAGCCCAGATAGAAAACTCTAGAATATTCTTGTGTAAATTTGTAAATATGCCAACGTTTTTCTTATTGTGACTCTTGCCTCGAATATAGTTGCGTTCCTGTTCAACCGTGTTTTCATTTAGGGACTTCTCGAGTGAAAAGTCCAAAAGAATATTAAGCAATAAGAGTAGCTAGGTCGTAATAAGAGAAATCACTTATTTATTTATGCTTGTTCCCCTCATGCAGGAGCATAGGCCACCCACCAGCACTCTCCATCCAACCCTGTCCTGCGCAATCCTTTCCAGTTTCTATTCATCCTGTTCATATCTGCTTCCAATTCTCGACGCAGTGTTTTCTTTGGTCTTCCTCTTTCTCGATTCCCTTCACGATTACAAGTTAGCGCTTGCTACGTGACGCAAGAGAAATCACACCAAATATAAAAGATGGTTACGGCAGTTCTTAAAGAAATGTCACTAAAATATTGATGGGATATTTGATGAGACTTTCCTCTCAAATTTATTGTATAATAACATATCATTAAAGTTCGGTGTTTTTTCTATTATCATCTTGCTTTATCAAAGCACTCTGTTGGTATATTCGCTCACTGTTTAGATTATCTAATATTGACACCACCTACGAACTTATATGCACTGGTTGATGACAGCGTATGAAATCCAAAACACTTACCTGTTCTATTTCAAACAGCTGTATAGACATACCTGGATTCTAGCAAGTATTGAGAATCCCAGTAGAAAGTTTTATATTTTTTACTTCTTCCGTAATCACTAGGAAAGTGTTTACTTCATATGTTCTGTTTTTCTCAGAGACTTATTTGTTGAGTCAACGTTAATTTATTATTATTATTTACTTAAAACGGATTAACTTCGCATTTTTTGTACCAACAGTTTAGTCTACTTTTTTATTATTTTGGAACTTTTAATGCAAATCAAGGATCTCGATTGGCTTTCAGAAACTAGTTTAAACAGTTTACCTGATATTTATCGTTTGTATTGTAAAAAAGAACCACCACAAGACAAACAATTGAGATCAATTTTCGAATCTGGAACTATTGAAGATGTTCGTACAAATTTTCAGGTAACTACTTTCACATTACGTTTGTTTTCTTTTTATTACAAATTTCACTCTTATATGGATAAGTTAAGATTGTGTGTTTTATAAAAATTTTAATTGATACCGGTTTTTGAATGAGTTAGACTGATCTGGATACCAACTCAATGGCCTATAGTTTAAGCGTTTTCTCCCGTCAGTCAGTCATAGATAAGAGTATCTGGGTCAAATATTCATCGGTTCAAGATGTTACACCTCTGATGACCGCAGTAACAGGACTTATTATCAAAAGAGGGAGCAAAGTCGAAATAATGATAATGGTGAAGAATAGATAGAATATGTCGAGCAGTGGGATCTAGGACACGCGTTCCGTCCCATTTGGGACTCGTCAACTTCGTGTTCCTGGATCCGAGAATTGATGTTGATGGATCTCGAGCCGAGTGCCATTTACATCAAACACCAATGTGTTATCCGGGCAGTTCAACCACCGTATATACAGATGTCTATGTTACTATATTTCTTTCAGTGGAGATTGTAAAGATCCTTTTATTAAACTGTTCTCGTTATCCTACTATTGAATCCAGGTGTTGTTGTGGTCGTATATTCGTCTTCATCAAGAGTAAGGATTGAGTGGCTTTTATCCGACTTGGAGAAGAGTAAGTTTTAGCAGTCCACAACTTTGTAAATCTTTCATCTGTGATTAACCGTGTTGGAGTACCCAGTTTTTGTAATGTTTCAATCGTGTTCTTATATCTGGGTTGTTTGGTCAGTCAACAGGAATGGGATAGTACACGACTTTATTGTTGTGTGCTGGGTTCAGAGAGGTTTATATGTTGCATGTATGCAGTCCACCCTGTTGTAGTTCCAATCCAGTCCGAGTCCTGATCCACTTATTTTAGTTCGTGCAGTTCGGTAGTACCACAGACTCTTACACACATGTGAAGTGTGTCTCTGTAAGCCGAGTACAGGAATCTGTAATTGGTGAGTTATATCAAAGCAGTTGTGCATGTATTCCGCTTTATTTCAGCCTATGTACTAAACAAATATGATACACAGGTTGGCCATCCTTGTAGTTTTCACCACCACACTGCTCTTAGTCTACTCAGTTCCGTTTTGTTTGTTTGCTTCGTTTTATAATATTATTTTTGTACGGGGTGTCTGTAATATGGAGACAAGATAATGAGAATCGGCAAAATAGCTTTTGATGTTTTACGCAGTCGTTTAGAATTCTTTGTAAAGATTTTTTTGTTATGATATAGCGAGAACGACAGTGTTGAGCGCATTAAATGCTTATTTTGTTCTATGCAGATTGTACGTGACAGGTAAATGAATGAGTTGTTGTCTCAATCTCTTTTTTCGTAATAAACTTTGAAGGAAATCAATCTATTAGTATTTCACTGCATAATAGGCTAACTGATGAAGTACGGATGCTGACTGAGATAAATGATGATTTTCATTGTTGACTTCTGTTATAATTCTCTCTTACGATTATAACCCATCTATTCTTATTGCTTAGTATTCTCGGACACCGATTCACTCGACAAGTCCCCTAATTAAAACACGGTTGGACAGGAAAATCATTATATTCCAAATAGCAAGGTTAGATGCAAGTAAGAAGCAGAATAGGGAAAACTTTAGTATAGTAGTTTTTCACATGAGATTTCTAGTGTTCACTAACGCTGATTGGTTAAGAATTAGTCAATCAGCGTGCACCAAAGCAATCATTCATTGAGCATGCTTTAATCCAGTCCATTTCCCGGTAACAACTTTCTTATATTTTGGTGTTATAACTCGGTTTGTTTTTTGCCACAGGGCATTTGTTAACGATAATTTTGTGGGTGATGACGAATTTTCTATGAATGTGTTTACTTATTTTTGATAAGAACTCTGAAAGAAACTTCTTTTGTGAATATATTCACTTTAGTTTAATGAGATGATATAGTGAATCCTTTCCAATATTGGGATTGGAAAGTGGATAATATTTTTTGAAAAATGCATAAAGTTCTTGAAGTAAGGCACAACAAATTAACGTCTTATTACTTTTGTTGTGAGATCTTTTTAGTTTATTCAGACTATGTTCACTGAATGAAAGTGACGCACCAACCATAAGGTCTCTTATTTTATCGTTTTTGAGTCGCCATTATCTACAGATTTTTAAATAAGTATTTATTTCACTAAGGAATTGTTCAAATACTGTGCTGTGGATGTACTGATGACGTATGAAATAATACAAGTTTTGTGGCCTATATTTAAAGAAAGGTAAGCTAGTTATCCCGTCTGAGTATATATAATGTTAGCATCAAATTTATTTTCTACTTTATATATATATAATTAAATAATGAATTGTATTCCTGCTAAAAAGTGCTGCTTGCACAATGAAGCCTTCAAATAAATTTGTGTCTATCTTTCGTTGTTGTAATAAAATACTTTTTTCATAATTGCAACGAATCTGGTATCTATATTTGTTAGTCAATTACAACGTAGAATCTGTATGTATGTAAATCAATTCAATTTTCTATTCCCCATTAGCTCAGAGAAATGCAGTTGCTAGGCCAAGCTCCAGAATATTAGAAGTAGTAACATTATCAGTGGCGTTGAGAAAGATTCGGCATTAAAGAAACATTTCGAGAATATAAATTGCTGAAATAAAATCAAAGAATGAGGTTATAAGGAATTGAGAATTTCAGAACTTGGGAAGATAAGGATAGGATGCACCTGCGCCATTGCAAATGATTTCGAGCCATCTCATTCAAAGTCTTTAACTTTTGGTTATGATAATCACGCGGACCCCAATCAGGTAGTCTACGCATGTTCACATGGTCAAGTTCAGTTGTCATTGATTTCATGGACTGATGACAGGGTGTTCTTGGTACTGTTAAATTTTGAATGGCTAGTTTTTAGTTGTATTCATTCTTCTTAATTATGTCGAAATTCAGCAGGCTTCATTATAGATGTATACATATCATATTGATATGATATGTAGGTACGTAAACTCCTTCCTGTATTAGTCATTTTGGTGAATACCGAAGTAATCATGATTGGTGATATATGTCATGCCTAAAAGCATTATCACTTATGCCATTGAATATTAATCATAAAGTGTTGTATCGCAAGTTGAGTGAAATGGGCGACGTGATCTATTAAATTTTAAATCAATTATTTAAAGATTTAAACCCTTTCATGATGCCTTTCAAGTTTAAATTTCTATCTAGTATTGTGATTTCGTGGTCGCTGACTGTTAAAGGTTCGTTAAACTAATAGAAGAACAACTACCCATGTTATTTGCTGCTTTTTCGTACTTTTATTCATGTCACATCCTTAACGAAAATTATCACCAGAGTGAAAAAATCTACTCAACACTATTAAACAATATCTGGTACAAATTTAGCAGTGTTCTTTTTTTGTTCTTTAACTGTTATTGCTTGTTTTGTACCTAGTAATAGTTTGTGACTTATTAACGTCTTGACCATCACTGTTTATATTAGCTCATCCCATTATATGGTGCAGATAGTTTTTTCTCTCTCCCACTTCCATTATTGCTCTTCCTTTTCCTTTTGTAGATTTCCACATCCCGCAACATTTTGTGGATTACTAGAAATGAGTAGCATGTATTTACCAATTAATGATAATTGGATTAAATTTCAAGAAAAAGCAGAATCATCATATACGGAAAATATATTAAGACAAAAAAAATTATTGATGCAATTAGCTGATCAAGCATTAGCTAAATATTCTAATAATCAAGAGTAAGCTATTATTATTATTATTTTTATAAATAATAATAACTTTTGATACTTTATATGATATAATCTAGCTGTTTAAACATTGTTGTAACGTTTGGATTGCACGGTTAGATGCGCAGCGTATTTATCGGTCGATTCAGTGACACGTACGGACGACCTAGAGTCCCGATTGGCCCTGCTTCGCTACCTAACCCAGCCAGTTGAGTCCAGAACACAAGTCACAGCCTCAGAGATATGAATCATTATATTTCAGACATACTCTATTTATATACCAAACAAACAAACCACATCGTACCATAAAATATAAAACAACATTTACACATATTTAACAAGTGAAACAAATACCGACCAATAGGGAGTGTACATTTCAAGTCCAAGGTCACCGTTAGACTTAACATGATAATTATTGGTATATTCCTCTGCATCCCTAGCAAACATTGACAAGGAAGGCAGGGTTTGGACTGGTGCAGAATTGTATGAATTCATGATATTTCGAGGTTTCTCATCAGCTGCTTACAACCATTGAGATAGTGTGAAACAATTGACATAAATGAATGTAAATAACTGGAATGACAAAGGTTTACAATAATAACTATATGCAAGAACAGGTCAGAGGTTAATTGGTGTTAGAATTAAGAAAACAATTAAGGATGGGTGGTGTAATGGCCTAGTGGAGTTATACATTGTATGATAATTTTAGAGGTAGCGAAAGATTCATGGAATTAAGCAGTGATAAGATAGGTTACGTAATAATTGAATGGAATTTGAAAAGCTAACAAAATTTAGGAGGGTAAGTAGGCGAAAATATGTGAATGAAAAGTTGGTTTACGAGTTCGCTAGTGGGGGAGGAGGGGAATATAACATAGAATAGGATTTTTAAAAAATAATTAAGATTACGCAAATAACCAACATATAAAATAAAAATATAAAAATAAAATGAATTACCAGGGTAATAATAAATTAACTACTGTCACTTTCTGAATACATAAATCCGGTTTGAATTTTCTAATCGCGATCGCTTCGGCAAAACGGAAAGCAATCGTACTTTTTTGTCTACCGATAATTTTGAAAGCGTGCGGAATATTGATGGTATGCCCGTAATTTATTCTGTGATTGATTAATCCGGTGACTTGATCTCCTTTGAAGCGCAAGTATAGGAAGCAGTTTTTCTTTTCCACTATATCATGCTTAACTGGAGGGTTGGTATTTGCATATTTGTGGATGAATTTATCCGGATATGCGTTTTCACGTAGGCAGTTGGTGATTATGGCAATTTCTTCTTCAAGGTATTCCTTTGAGCAGATTTTGCGTGCGCGGTCAAAAAGGTTTTGTACAATACACTTTTTATAACTCATAGGACAGAAGTTTTTATAATTGAGATAAACTCCACTCCAGGTATTTTTACGATGAATGTGTCTTTGTAATGTACCATCTGATGTTCGTCCAATTCCAATATCTAGGAAATGCAATTTATCGTCAACCTCATGTTCTATAGTAAATTCTGTATCTTTGTGTGCTTTATTAAATAGACTGAGTAAGTTGGTGGAGTGTTTGTGATTGTCGCAGACAAGGAACGTGTCATCAATATATCTACAATAGAGTGTGGTACTATCGATTGCGTGCTTAAGTTTCTTTTCTTCAAGGTGTCCCATAAATATGTCGGCCAGAATTGGGCCCAAAGGGCTGCCCATTGATACTCCATCAATCTGGCGGTACAGAACATTGTTGAATTTAAATTGTATGTTTTTTGTGCACAAAAACAGGAGCTGTTTAAATTCATGGATTGGTAAAGGCAGGAGTTCCGGATATTCACATATGATCTCTGCCGTTTCTTCCAAGGGGATAGATTATCATACATATAACGAACTCAAACCAAAAGGATCACAATTACCATACTTATATGGTCCACCCAAAACACATAAACCCGATATCCCAATAAGACCAATATTATCTATGACCAAATCACCCTTTCATAAACTTGCCCGCTGGCTGACTAGATGCTTAGAACACATCCGCAAGAAACTAGCAACCTACAGTTTGAAAGATAGCTTTGAATTTGTACAAAAACTTGATAACCTTAATGTTTCTGACAAACTCATGATCTCATTTCACGTCTCATCGCTCTTCACAAATATCCTCTTAGAAGGAACATAATTTCCAAGACTGATTATTTGTCAATTATCCAGTGACGATTAGTTGGTTTCAGCACGACTGATTAAATATCCAGATGATATATATATATATATATATATATATATATATATATATCATATAGAGTACCTTTATAATCTAGTTAAGTTGTATAATTTTCCTTTTATATTTAATATTGTAATAGCAATAATGATAATTTGTGTGATTCCAATTTTTAATTCAAGGTATAAAAATGATCCATGGTTGTGGGATTTGGATTGGTCTAGACCCAAAGTCAAATGTGTTAGTTTACTCATTGTTTAATTAATTCATTTCTTGTTTGTTTCTATTGTTGACAGTGAAATAACTTGGTCACAAAAACGTGCTCTGAAAACGAATTTCCTAGTTATCTTTTCATCATCATGATTATTTTGTGTAGTTACCTTTAAAAAAGTATCAGTGAAGAGTCATAATGTTCAAGTTGGTAATATGGTTTAAAGCCAGTTTTTCTACATCAAATAAATAGCAGCCTATACATACTAAAATAAATAACTTTTTATATAATTTGTTGTGTTCGGAAATGTGACACTGGATATTGAACAGTATCGTAAATATCAAGTATTATATATATATATATATATATATATATCTGATTTTACAATCGATGATACTGCTACTATTTCTACTCATATAGTTCTCATTGTATTATTTTTTTTCTTTCGTTAGTTTGATGCAGTGTTGTAACTAGGACTAGCGCATGTTTCAAGTTCTGCATTGCTTATTCAACTCTAAGTGATTTCTTTAGCATAGATATTTCTGTGCTGAAATATTAAGGTTATGGAAAGATGTATTAAATAGTTTTAAGTTCATTTTATCCTGTGTCTAAAACTTTCCAAGTTATTCAACCTTCAACTTGTATTTCAGTGAAACATTAGTTGTTTATTTCATTAAAATTGAATCTGTTAGTTAAACTGTAGCATAGAATTTAATGATGATGAGTTCTCTTCTTCCTTCAGTTAAGTCAAACTATAGATTAATAATCAAACCACAAGTTGTAAGGTATGTTTGCATTGACTTTATCTCATTTTACTGTTCTTATAGAAGCAAATGTTTTTGATTGTTATTATGATTTCGGTGGATTATCAAAGTTCATTTACACCTAAACTCATCTGTCTATGTACCCGTTTGTTGTATAAAGTTTACTTCAAAATAATACTATCCGGTAGTACTACTCTTTAGTTTTTTGCGTTTTATCTTTATCGTATTTGTCTGCTGACATTTGGATATCTTGTGTGTAAATGTTTTGAGATTGGTATGATTTGCTTTTTTCTTTTGTAAAACATGGATTTCATGCAGTAGTTATCACTACGAATTTTACTCACACACAGAGTTTAGTGGTAATTTTAAATGTTTGTTTAATATGTTTCTTTTCATTACAGAAGACTGAAGTTGATGAAAAGGTGTCTCGTCTTCCTAAGTGAGTAATATTTTTACATTACGCTTTATTTTAGTGACCATCAACAGTTTTCTACAAGGATTTTTTTTATTAGTTTGGGGATTTTAGCAAGTAATGGAACCCACGACGTTCTCTCATCCTATTAGTATCTTTTCAGCTGAATATACCTGTATACTTGTGTTAATTTTCACACTCACACTTGAATCCAGTGCTTATCAATCAATATGTCAACATGCTATACACCAAGTGACACAATCCAGTTAGTAACTTGTCCAACTGGTACAAAGCTATTTGAAAGGGTGTCTATTTTCCCATACTCTAACATGATTGCGACCGGTTTCTGGTCTGCGCTGTTTGCATCATCTGCAGGACGCCAACCAAAGAGTTCTAATGAACCAACAGATTTCAGCCCTATACAGCTTTCTTTCATACCTCAGCACTATATCGTAAACTAACCACATGTCCACTTTTTCCATTCAGTCTTAATATGGTGTATGCTACAGCTGTCGACAGATATGATGAGCATGCATCACCAGTCGAGAGTGGAATGCTTGATAGCAGAAGGTTGAGAAAATGGAAGATATGAAAAGGAGAACAGAGAGTGATATGGAAACGAAGGGACAACAAAGTATGAGACAATTGATGGTTATTTTGCAAATAAAGTATTTACTATATGGTTTCGAGATTTTCCCAAGATATTCTGTAAAGGTGTATTTAAATACATTGGATTGTCCCCACTGGTGTTTTCGTTTACTAAACTAGTGTTGACAAATAAAGCAAAATATGTCAGATGAGTTCATAGTTTTACGTTTTCTATGAGAGTTTATTTAACACAGTCGTAAATTTCTAAAAAAATAAACTGCATAACTAAATTATTTAATTATTTAGATGGTATAGAGATTTAATTCCAAAACCAGTTAAAGATAATTTAGACGCTGGACCAGCTTTATTGACTGCTCAAATGCGTATTGCTCCAAAACTATTAAAACTCTGTTGGCAAGGTCTGCCATTGCATTATGATCGAGTAAGTGATTACTATTTAATACACAGTTTGTCTTCCTTTTTTTGATAACCTGGTCTATAAAACACCAATGACTGCAACAGTAAGAAGCTATTTAGTTAATTCGATTTGTATTTCATTTCATTTGCTACAAATCTGTTACAATATGTTATAAGCATCCACAATCGCTTATTCACCATATTAATCGATACAAGGTTAATTCTAAAGCGGTAGTTGATACGAAACCCTGCACTTAGTTTTAGCGCTATTTGACGCTTGTTAGCAAGGTGTACCTGGCGAACTCAATCCCATGTGATAAGTCTTCTAATTGAACGCTAGATTTGGTTCTTAAGCTCTTCTAGTAACCCTCAGGCTAGATCTACACAGCAACTTGAACACGAGAGAAAAGGCGCGAGATATGGAAGAAACACTACTCCAAAGTTTCGTTTATGTACAGAAAATCTAGGGTTTTTATAGTACTTTATATGGCCCTGGGCTTCCCGAAATTTCTGGAACGCTACTAAACATAGTAGCGGCATAGATAACCATCCATTCAGAAACTCGACATGTGACTTTCCACTTTCTAGATGTCTCTGGAAAAACGTCCAGTGAATACTGATAGAATAAGAAGCTTTTCAATGTTTTCAGAACCTTTTTTGGCTTTTTTCGAGTTTTTTGGATCTCCTCAACACCATGTTACCGAGTTTCACGACCCGAGACGTTACCACTAAGCTATTCTGACCGCGACTGAGATATATGTGCAATTTATCAATAAAAGTTTACTAACCAACACTTTGTCATGTATTGCAATAAAAGTTATCTTCATGTTTTTGTTCCTTTCAGTAATATCCGATACAGATTTTATTCTCAAAGTACATTTATTTTAAAATGGAGGTTTTGTTTTGTTTTGAATTAAAAAGTTGTTATCGTTTCTACGGTTTGTTTCAATTTGATTACATCAACCACTTTGATATAAGTTTTGTTATGTTTAACTTACGAAAAAAGATTCATGATATACACCGATGTTACTTACTTTTTTGACATCATTTCATCAATTTTTCTTGACAGCCTAAATTTATTGTTAGATTCTCTGGAATAACGTACTTGAGTTCAACTAAATTATGGATACTTTCTTGGCTTCTCGAATTACTTTTATACGATCATATATAAATAATAAATAATTCCACAATAAATGACTAGGTTAAGTTATAAAACACATCCAAAGTGATGTACTCAGTAGTATCAGCCAACTCAACACAGTAAAGATAGGAATGACTATTTCAATATGGCCGGACAGGTAAAAGAACATCGTATAAAATAATAATAGATTGGTTAGTTTACAATCGACTAAAGAAATTTGTACGATAAAAACTGATTATTTATATTTTATACGATTAAAATGCACAAATCTCATAATCATCTCTTGTGGCTATTAATATATCTGCTACTGAAACGCTTATGAATACGTTCCTAGCTGCTTCCTATAACCCCAGACTACTTGAGCAATAGAGAAAAGGGGCGAAATATAAATAAAAGCTTTATCGCAAGGTTAGTTTATGTACAGAAAATCAAGAGTTGGATTTAACCTTCGTCTCCTAGGACTTTTTGGAAACACTAACTACAGTAACGATGCATGTACTTATCCAATCTAGAAAATGGCACATGATCCCTTATTTTGCTAGGTATTTCTAAGAAGCTTCTGTTCAATGCTATTTGGATAAAACAGTTCTTTGCATTTTCTGAGTTTCTAAAGGCTGGGGAAAAGATATTTTTGGATTACCTCAGCGGTTAAAAATGGTGTTTTATCGATCTGTAATTTTTATAAAATTTCATCTTTTTGTTATGTGTATATTAGGTGCTCAAATGGGGTGTTCTCATACCTGGACGTATTCCACAACCCTACGGTGATCCACGATATTACACTGAATCATTTAAAAATACAGAAAATACAGAATGTATTGATTCTAATGATGCAGAAAAATGTTCTACAAACTCGAATGTTGTGTGTCATTATGATTCATTAATTCGTCCAATTATATCTGTTGTCAAATCAACAGCTGCTGGTGATGAAACGCTCGACTTTCCCTATGGGTAAGTGTTATGTCCTTGATCAGTTTGCTCAATAATACACAAGAGAGAACCTGCCTCGACCTTGATACGATAGGCTAACTAGTTCTACCTTGAGGCTAGTTATGTGTGAGTCCGAATTGTGGCTAAACGGCCTTGTTGTGAGAGACGAGAACAAAATATTTTTTAACTTGCTGATAAAATTAGGGTATAAAGTTTGATTAAATTAGTCTTTTTTTAAAAAGAATTATGTCAAATTCATTTATGACTGATTATCTCAGAGAGTCGTTAACGTTGTTGGTTAATGCAAGCATTTCTTTTCAAATTGTTGATCAAAATAAATAGAACATGTTCGTAAATCAGTCACTACTTTTCAATGAATTCGTGCCCTTAATTCAGTCGATGCGTTACACAAAAATAGGGTATTATCAGTTTAATAAGCCTAATCAATAATAAATTTAAGTTTTTGGTAAAATGTTTAGTTTTGGTTGTTTCGGTAGTCAATCATTTAATCAGTTAGTGAATTGAAATATATCTGATCTCCGAAAAACAAAATATTCATTATGTCTCAATGTACAGTATGTAAAAAGATTCGTAATGGATTCACTAAGTACCAGTTTATGTACTCATCTGTAATAGGTAGTGAAACTCTTACTGGGTGATCTAATGTCGATTGAATTGGGTTTATATGTCTGAAACATATTAATTGAAAGCTATGTACTTCAATCATATCTTGTTACAATTGTTTAACATTTAGAGTCAAGAAAAGAAGAATATCTATATCTGACTATCTAAATCATGTTATATTTCTTTCATTTTCTCTTTTGTATAGAGCTTATTTAAATTATTGGTTAGCTGATGTAAAACGTCGTCTGTTAGCAGATTTTCAATTAAACCAATCTACATCGTCAAGTGATAACTTTTCAGATAGTTTAGCAGTTGCTTATTCTCATCGTATAAAACCAGATATTCGTGATGCTAATTTGTTAGATGAATTAAAACGTAGCATTGAAGTTATGCCGTTGGAAAAAGAGGAACGTCAACGACTGGCGTCTACAATAAGTACTATACGTAAATTAGGTGAACAAAAACGATTTCAAATGGATTCCAAATTACAGGAAATAAACAATAATGTAATTGATTTACTTAAAACATAATTCCGATTCATTTAGTGTTGTTAATTCTCGTATTATACAATGAATGTATGGACATTAAGGGGAAGCAGTTGTGTTAGTGTATGTGCCTTGTTCGCACGAGAAAACCAAGAACACATTATTCTCGATGTGATCTAGGTAAAATTTTGACATGATCAACCAGTTATTTTTCACACCTTATTAATCGGGTTGATTGTCTCTAAGATTACTGATTTTCTGTTCTTACTCATCTTATCTGCCTCACTGTTAAAAATGTTTAAAAATTCCGATTATGCTTTCTGTATTGTCGTTGAGTGTTTAATGTCGATTGATTCATCGAACCTATCGAAAGAATTAATTTATCTCTTCATACAATTAAATTCATCAGCCATGGTCTTAAGACTCATGTTTGAAGAGCATTCATGAAGTGTATCATTATTTATTGGAAAGGTGTAAAACAAATACCATTCTTTAAAACTTTAATTATAGGTGAGTAGATGTTCACAGAACTAAAGCAAGGGTTTCGAATTACAATGTTGTCTATATGAATTAACAGCTATACTGTCTAACAGTTGCTACTAACTACACATGTACTCTTGGTTCTGTATCGTCATCCCATCATATGGAATAATTTGTTTGATATATTGTTTAATGTAGTAATGTCATTGGAACCAATGATATATTTATGAATTAAGTATCGTTGAATACAACCCAGTCACCTTACTCACATAACCTTCAATTTGTCAAAAAGCACTAATGCCTTTTTTCCCATTTCATAAATTCTAACCAATTTATGTATATAACAACTTCACATGAACATTTATATACATATTGCTAGTTTTTATTTTCTTTTGCACTTACCAAACTTTTCAATTTAAACCCAATAACTATCAGACAGATTTTTGTGTTTTTTCTGTATCAAAACACAATTTATAATCCATTATAAGTTGATTTGCCTTCCCCTTTAGAATCACAATGAATTGATTTATGAGAAAGTGGGTGAATTACAGGTAATTTATTCTTTACATTTATGTAAAACAAAATATTTTATCATTCTCGTGTTTGTCATTTTTCCCATTTTGAAAAATTTGTCCAATAGTGGTAGTAAAAAAATTGTAATTTTAATTCTCATCACTTATATCATGGTCGACGGAGTAGCTTTTCAGAGATAATTTGGTTGCTTAATTTCAATACTAAATTACGTAGTCAGTCAGTCAGCTACAACGTAGGACCAGGCACATTTATGCATCGGTCCAAGTTGTCATACCTCATTAACACAACAAGATGGACGCCGGATTCATAAAAGTAGTTAATTCAGAGGTGGTAATATATAAAAGAAAGATTGCAATAAGGATATAGTACAGGAATGAAGAGTTAGTTCGCAGAAATAAAGATATGAAGCAATTTTAATCTCTCAGTTTAAGGGAAGACAGAGAGTGTGTATACACCTACGCCATTGTGATCGATTCTAAGCCATGTCACCTAGAGTCTCCAACCATTGGTTACGACAGTCACGCGGACCCCAACCAAGTAGTCTGCATCTACCAACATGGCTCAGACTAGAAGTTAGTGTCTTCAAGCACTGATGCGACGTTTTGGTTTGGCCGCCCCTAATTCTCTTCCAACCATCTCTAACACCCGTTAGCATTGCACGACGTGGTAATCGGTGTTCAGGCATACGTAACACGATGAAGATTAACAACCTCATCAACTGATTTACCATCATTACCTAATACCCTGCGTCTAACCTCACTATTACTTACTCGGTGATCCCAACAGATGCGAGCAATATTTCTAAAGCATCTGTGGTCGAATACTAGTAGCTTACGAGTATCTTCTACTCTTAAGGGCCATGCTTCGCTGCCGTAAACTAGAACAGAACGAACTGCCGCGCATTATACTCGTTCTGTTATTGATAGACGGATATCTCGCCTTCGCCATAGGTGACGTAAGTTGGCAAAAGCCAAACGAGCTTTTCGAATCCGTGCTGAGATTTCGTCAGACACAAACCCATTAGGGCTGATCAGACTTCCAAGATAAGTGAAGTTGTCAACGCGTTCGACTACTTCACTCCCTATCCTTAGTTCAGGTGTTGACGCAGACCAGTCCTGAAGCAACAACTTGCATTTAGAACTAATTTACGTAAGAACTATACATATGTAAAATTTTCTATTGTCGTGTTAAATAATCTTTTTAAAATATATCATAGTAAGGGATAACTGAAGCATTATACGGCTGTTTAGATTAGAAATACTATTGAGATTTATGTAGTGCAATGTGCATGTATGTAGTATTGCTTCATTTACATACATAAATGATGAGATTATGATTGGTGTAGTACTTGTTTGACTAAGTAAAGATAACGTTCAATATCAAGCAGTCACTTTTTTGTAAATACTACTGTCAATTACAAGTTGGCTTTAGACTCCACCGTTGCTGCTACCTTGACGTGATTGTCGGACTTGCCTATTGTTTATGAACCAATAGAGCTATACTGGCTGAAGCAATCGTTCGGTTGAAGAAAAATTAGCATAACGGCTACGCTGCCTTCCCACAAAGGAATGGTGGGGCTATAAAACGTCGACCCTAAAAGTGCACGCTTCACTTTATCCCACGGATTTCTGTCTCAGGCGTTTTTAACAAGTATGGAGCTAACACGAAAATTACCCACGAAAAGGTCGTGTGTAACTGTTCTCAAGCACCGGTCCACTGGACATTGTGGTCTCGCTCTCAGGTCACTAAGACCAATCTCATCTTCAGGTACCTGTAGAAAAACCCTTCCACGGTGTGTAACCCGGAAGTGATAACGGCCTTCATATCTCTAACAGCATTCAAGACCACCGTATCCATAATCAACTTCCCTCTTCGATTTCTATTATTGCTTCTACCTCGACTTTCAACTCTAAACTTCCTCTTTTGGCTTCCTCCTCAAGTGTCATCATGGTCAGGGATTCTAGTGCTCTATATACTGTCTCAGGTCTACTGAGACCTCACTCTAAACTACAGATTGGAGCCTTCGAAGTACGCACCCTATGTCAAATCGGTCAACAGACTTCCCTGGCTAGAACCCTAGAATCTCGTACCATTGATTTATGCTGTGTCTCTGTGAGATACTAGAGCTCCACAACTCACTTGGTAAACGTCGTATTTGGGAAATTTGAATTTCTCGTTTTCTCGCCTAAGACCGTCGTTTATTTCCAACAAACGATAAATATGAGCATGAGGAGAGACATTGTCTAACATGGCAACGCCCTGCACCAAACCAACGATGGACTCAAATAGACCATATTGCCATCAGTCATCATTGGAGAGGCTCGATAGTAAACTGCCCCTCGTTCTGGAGTACATGTTTAGACTCTGATTATGCTCTAATACGAGCACCTATTTGTTTGCATCTCACTGAACTCAGCGACGAGAAAGCTTAAGGTAAATTCCAGGAACAACTGAAGTCACACTTTGTTAGTTCTCAAAACATGGCTGATCCAGATGTTGATGGGATAGATATATGAATAGATGTGGAAACAGCAGCGACATCTATTAGTGGTTTGAACCAAAGGTTCGCGAAAAACCAGTGGATTTCCGTGGCATCTATTGCATTCATAGACTCTCAAAAAATTTATCCCATCGCACTCTGGACACGATGAAGAGCGAAAACAAATCAGATCTAGGTTAACCAAAAGTCTAAGGAACGACCGTGAGCAGTGGTGGGCCACGAAAGCAAAAGAGATAGAAAAGGCGATAGCTGTAGGGAACACAAGGCAGCATGTCAGACTCAGAAGAAACCGGAATTAAAAAGTCGAGCGTAAGACAATTTCGGATAAAGACGATACTCTTACATGCTCTCAGCCCAAACGTTTAGAACGATGGGCGGAACACTAAACAGCAGTTCATCTGGTCTTCAGCTACTCTACAACTACCCACCGTTTCTAAACAACCTTAATGGAACATTGAAGTAAGTCCCTGGAATCTAACCGAAGTTCAAGCAGCTATAGCTAATATGAAATGAAGAAGAGCAGCTGGTCCAGATATCTTTAAGCATGGTGGTCCAGTCTTAGCGATTAGGTTGACTAATATTTTAGCTAAAATCTGGGAGTTGGATGTAATCGTATCCGATTGGTCGCGATCACTGATTGTCCCAATATTATAAGAAGGGGTCAAAATCATCCTACGATAACCATAGACAGATTAGTTTGAAGAACATATGTAACTCAAAGCAACTGTCAACCAATATCAAAGTGAGAATCTTCAATGCGAACGTCAAAACATGGAGAACTACTATAACCATCATTAAAAAGGTACAAGTATTTGTAAGCAGTTGTCTACATAAGATACTCAATATCCGTTGACCAGATACCATCAGCAACAGCGTACTGTGTGGGAGGACAAACCAGCTTGCAGCTGAAGATGGAATTAGAAAAAGATGTTGGAAGTGGATATGATATACATTACGGAAATCACCAAACTGCATCACGAGGCAATCCCTAACTTTGAATCATGAAGGGAAATGGAAAAGAGGGAGGGTCAAAGAACACACTATGTCGAGAATTGAAAGCAAATATGAACAGGATGAATAGAAACTGGAAAGGATTGCGCAGGACAGGGTTGGATGGAGAGTGCTGGTGGGCGGCCTATGCTCCTCCAGGAGGGGTAACAGGCGTAAGTAGTAAGTAAATAATCCAAAAAGCTGTGAAAACAACCGTGATATCTATGTAGTGGCCTTCAAATATCTGAATCCAGGTAGATCGTATGAATGATTGTTGTCAAAGTATACATTCTGATTATCCTCGTATATAATCATCGACTTAACTCACGTTAGTGAATAACGGAGTTAAATAAGTCAAATACGAGAATGGATTTCGAATACGTATATTTCATACAATCATTGATTCAGACAAACGATAGGAGAAACGAATCGAGGAAAGCGAAGTGACGAGAGCGAAGCGAAATGACGCGTGGTGGAGAAGGCGTGTGAGCCAACTCGATTTAACCAAGCGTTAATCGATACCCATAGTCACACAAAATAAGTTATAGATATTTGGTGTTCACCTTGTTGTGCTAATGAGGTGTTGGAAGTCGGACCGATGCATATGTGTACCTGGTCCTACGTTGGAGATGAATTAGTTGACTCAAAAGTTTTGTTTCTTGTGACTGTATTATAATTGGTTTACTACTGGAATGATATTTTAATCTTATTGAAGCCACATTGGTTAGCTTCTTGTCATAGATTTTGAAACATTTCCCTGTCTTTATATTGATCGAACATTTTTACAATTTGTCAGTTGTCAGTGAAGTTTTTGTTCTGTTTATGTAAATTAGAATTCTTTGAAATATATAAGATTGATAAATGACAACTGTTAAATATTAAGCTAATTCTGATTTTATAAACAAGACTTTTACGTATTGGCTTATTGAAGTTGTTCGTCAGTACATCTTTTTAACTCACTTTAATCATCTAATATCAGCAATAAGATTGCTGGTTTCTGCTAATTTGTCTATGAGTATAAATTATTCAAGTAAGCTAAATTTCCATGTTTTTCCACATTTTTATTCATTGCTCAATTCTTAACTGAAAGCATAGGAAAAGCACCGTTTTTTTAAAAAACAAAAGCCAACCCTCAAAATTTGTAAGAATAATCATTTGATAAATCGAAGTTTATCAGATATTCTCTCAAGATTCTGATGATCTTTAGTTCTCCTAATTTATAGTCAAAAGCTGTCTGATTACTGAATGGAGACTCAAACATAACTATCACAATCTCGGGGCTATTAAAATCGTCAATTATTATGAAGTACGTAATTAGAAATTATAATTAGCGAACCCAGGGTAGCCGTTAACAACTCAGGTTTTGTCGAGAGAAAATATCTTCCAATTTTTGGAATACATGAGTACTTGGGGGTATTGTAAAACAACCTCTCACGGCAATATCTCATCTTAATAATTATATTTGTCTATTAAGCCAGTTAAGTTTCCCATTTGGCAGTTTCCGTGACAGGATATTCATTTTGTACATTTCCCGACTAAACCATTGTAATACAAAAGTTAATGTTTGTAAGGAATATTATGATAGCTTCTTGGTTAGAGCGCATAACTTTTAACCAGTAGTTTTCAAGTTCTAAACTCTGTGTTTAGTAACCGGCTGTTATCACTCGTCTCCATACGACCTATGAATATATAAACTTGCGTTTGTGTGAGTCTCATTACAAAATACATTTATTTCAAGTTTCTTTAAAAAAGATTACTTATCATTATCTACTTTCTAGGCTTTTGATTTATAAGTTATAACTAGCTGCCCATAAAATAAATTTACGAAATATTAAAATCCAGCTATACAGTTCTTGACGCACAAAACATTGCTAAGAAAGACGTATCACCATATTTATCTGTTATTATTATTAGTATTATTATTAGCAGTATTAGTATCAGTATTATTATTCTTTGACAATAAAGGCTCAAGGTTCAGCTTTCTGGTTAAACTCCAATCGTTTTGATCACAATTCTTCGAACTATTCTTCAAAATATCGACGGCGTAATACCGTCCGATATGCAGTCGACACTGTAAATCCTGTTATACCGACATGTTGGTTTAAACATCTTCCTCATGAGGTAATTCTCATATTTTTTCTTTACTATGGTAATATTATCTTTATATTCATATCTAAATACCGACCTTAAACAATGTTTCAGGTTTGCAAAAGAGATATTTTAACTCATTTTGTACTACTTGTTTTTTACTTTTGTTTTAAAATCCATATGCTAGGCATTTGTTACGAATGAAATGAATTGATTATATTGTAAGAGACTCCAAGATTTATTTTTTAATTCTCTTTAGTTTATTTATTATAACGTCACTAAATGTTACCGATCTGTTTTGTTGTACTTGTTAATTTTATCTCTCTATGTTGGTGTGGTATGGCAACTTATGCTGATGCACATCTATTCCAGATTCGATGTTGACGATGATTAACCATAGATCTTACTCAGCAGATTAGTTATAAGGTATTAATAGAGTCTGATTGAGGCAAATAGCAATATAAGTTTGTTTACTGTATTCTTGAGAAAAATTCAAAATTTTAATAGAATAAAAAAGTAATGAAATAACAGTGAAAAAGCTTCTTTATCCAGAGTAAAATTGAAAGAAGTTTTGGATGTGGAGAATTATTACAAGTAAAAATATAAATGAAAGTTAATAAAAGATAAAAGCAGTATTATAGACGTTAAATGACCTCAATTGAAGTGTATTATTTGTATAACTTGTAGAGCGATAAAATCATTTATAGAACGATATTTTAACTTTTAGTAGTACCACTGTCTCTGTTGAGATAATTAACAAATATGGAGCGTCCAACTTATATGAGTAATATCTTCATGCATAGTATTTTTCTCTTTATTGTACTCTTTGTGAAATAAGTCTCCAAAGCGCTAGATATGTAGACATAACTATTATACATATACTTTGATCCAGATCAACTGAAGGCGATCAAGGTGTTGTCATTTTTCTTTGGCTTACACTAAGTGCCTGTAATTGGTAAAGTTTGCGTTCAATCTTTATCTTTCAAGTGCGGGACATTACTTATTCCACAGTTGCATAAGATATTTTCAATCTTTCATGAATCTAATTACTGAGAAACTGAAGAAGTACCACCACGTAGATTTATATATTTTCTACGTCATGTATCTTTTTGGAGAAAGGAGAACCAGTAACTATATAATTTATGCATCAAATATATTAGACGATGAAAAGTGATGTCATTGAAGAAAGACTTATTGAAATGATTAACTTATGAATACAAATGACAACTAGTCACTGTTTGGAAACCTGTTATACATAGTCATTGGTTGAATGCTTATAAAAAGCGAAAATTTTCTTGCAATTTTATATATTATGTGCTAAAAATTCTCCACTATAATCAATTATATAGTATTGAATAAAGCGAATATTATTATTATTGTCTTTGCTTTTATGATAATTTTGTCACAGTAGGTAGGTATCCCTTACAATCCTACAAAACATTTTTTTGAAAATTATTTGACTTCTTTTTAACGTTCAAATAACTAATTTTACTTAATCGTCATTTAAAAGAGAAATGTGGACATCATTCTTAAAGTAAATAGTTCAATCAATTATTTCGAACTAAATTCAATAAGTGTTTTTTTCTTCTACCTATTATTTTCATTCTTTAAAATACCATTGTGATACAATGTTTTCGACATTTCTCATCTGTTTGTCCTTAACTCAATATTAATGCACATATATATATGCGTTAATATTTAGTCAGGTACTGGACTTCCTGTCGGTTCACCACTTTCTCGTTCATTTCAAAGTCATATTGCATCTCATCGTTTACACAGTGCAGATTTTAATCCTACTGATACAATTTCAGTGAATACTGAAACAATAAAATTAAAGCCAGTTATGGGGTTAGCTGATCGTTTACTTCATGATCGTGTTCATGCTACATTTTGGCAAAGTTATTCAAAACGTATTAAGTAATTTTATACTTAGTGTTTTATTACAAAGTTAATATTTTAAATGATATTAAATTAAAATGCTAATCTGATTAGCAATTTATTTTGTACAATTTTAGATAAATGTACATTTTATTTCGACAGTTTTCATTGGGTTTTTTTCCACTAAATTAAACATTAGGTTGGTTGATATTTTATACTTATTCTCTGTTCTTCTGGCAAACATATTCCCCAACATCATTATTTTCGTATTACTCCGCTAATTAAACAAGGATTTTTAGTCAAATACTCTTATTTACACTCCACAGACGCAAGTGATGTTGAATTCCCTTTATTTCAACAAAACAAGAACGAAGACAATATTTGCAGACTTTTGTCAAGATTTGTCTCAAGTTATCTAGTTTTGTTAATAAATTTTATTTCTTACAATAATAACCACTTTTTTCAGTTGAATTCGCGAGTCAATGCAAGCTAGACCGACATTGAAGATCTGGAAACACTAGATGGTCGTTTCGTCTTAGTATGCGACTCCTCAGTAGCGTGCGCCCACGACACTGCATGTGGGGCTCGAACCCAGGACCTTCGGTTCCGCACGCGAACACTTAATGTCTAGACCACTGAACCGGCATCCAACGACGTTAATGTCTAACTCTAATCGATTCATAATCACTTTAACAATTTTGTTAATTCATATTTTCCTGCTATTTTTACTGTCTTCTGATTAGTTGTCATTTTTAGTATGCTAATTTACTTTGTGCCCCAAGTTTATGTTCTTCTTCTGTTGTTGTATCATGTGTTTTTTGCTTGATTCAATCCACGGTAATTGTTAATTGCAAACGATCCAGATTATTCCAATGCGAATAGAATCTGTTGCGAATTCTATAAGATAGCGAAGAACTTCAACAATTATCTCTAATGGTGGTACACAGAAAGAAGGCAGTAACGTAGAAGAAAATTTAATATTAACAAAAATAAATTGAAATGGAACAGTTCTGTGTATGTGTGGTAATAATGACACGACCTCGGTACACAGAAAATTAGCAAACTAAAAGTGGTAAAAGCTGATCTGAAAACAGCAAACGACATGGAAACATACAAATTAGAAATACTGTACTTAGGGTTATCATTGCAAAAAAGAACCTAACATTCATTCAGGAAAACTAGATAACCTATAATTTTCTTTAGGAGATAAATATGTAGAAAATTATTCTACTTCTATTTTATCTCAGTTAAATATCAAGCCTTTTCTGCTCTCTTATCTTCTCCCTAAATTCCCTCATGTAGTGATAATTGTTGAAGCGTTGTGTCAGTGGCCGTGTTATTGAATTTGGATTAATTTTCTTTCGTATTTAAAAAAATCCCAATCGTTCTTAATTAGAAGACTACCTTTAACCGAATCGTTTAACAATTATGCAGTGCGTTCACTGTATTATGTAGTTTTCTTCTAAGCGCAATCATAGAGAAATATGTTCGGTTAATTTGAAAATTCATTATAGTGAATATATACTGGTAAATGAATTACTCAAGATAACATTAGACTCATTAAAAACCGACAACTTCATACCTTTCACATAACATAGTTGCCGCATTACACCCGCAGTAGATATTAGATTTTGAATTTCATGTATTTTAGGGTCATCAGTCTATGAAATCTCTAAGAGTTGGTCTGAATCACTTAGCTTCAGGCTATTTGGTTCGGATCTGCGCAATTGTTGTAACCAGTAAGAGAAATGTCTTAGATGTATGTACTTTTGTCGCTGTGCTAATCAAGCTTGACTCAACCGTTGCTGCTACCTTAACGTGGTGGTCGGGCTTGCTTATCGTGATGAATCAATCGAGCTATACTGTCTGGAACAATCGTTCCTCAAAGTCCTACCATGCCGGACAGGTCGGTTGAATAACGGTAAAACTAAAAGCAGAAAACTCAAGATCCGTAGGCGAAGTCGTACTGCTGATTGTACAGAGGTGTGACGGCAGTAGGGTGTTACTCTCAGAAATTCAGCATAGCAGCTATGGTACCTTCCCGCAAAGGGATAGTAGAGTTAGAAATGGTCGACCCTGAAAGTGCACAATTCGCCTTATCCTACTGATTTCCTTCTCCGGAGGTAAGGTCTCAACAAGCACTGAGCTAACACGAAAATTACAAAAGGTCGTGTGTGACCGACCTCAAGCAGTTGTCCCTTGGGCACTGCGGTCACGCTCTCTTGTCACTCTCTTGTCAATCCAATTTTCTTCTCAGGTACCTCCAGAAGAACCCTCCCACGGTGTGGGCAACCAGGAAGTGATATCTGCACCCATACCTCTAACAACACTCAAGAATGGAGTGTGGAGATTCAAACGGTTGACATATTTGCCAGATTTTATGATTCATATAACCGATCGCCTGCGAACTGTTAACTATTAATCAGTATTACAAACATGAAGTTCAGTTAAGGGATCTCTTTTCAACGAATTTATTATCTTACTGTAACATTATATGTGTATATGAAAATTTTTAAAAGTATTAGTTCCATCAAGAAATATGGACAAAGAGCGAACATGATGTAATAATAAAGCTATAATACGAGATTACAAAGTGTAAATATTAACAAAAAACATTGCGTGTGCAAGTAAAAATCCTTGTAAAATTGATAAGTTAGCAACGAATTATAATGTGAATGTAGTAAGATAATTAAACCGTTTTTGTTACCGTGATTGAAGATAATAGAGGGGTTAAATTAAATGAAAAGATGTCAAAAACATTTACGAATAAAATCATGGGGATATGAAAAGTAATTATGGAGAGAGGAGATATTTTCAAATGCGAGATGTAGTAATCGTAGTTTAAGGCCTTGCTAAGGATAAGATATACTTTTTTTGTATGCCCACTTTTGGCTTCATCTCATAGATAGCAAGAGCTTCTACTGTTTTAAGAAGTTAGATACTAATAAATCTAGGTAGATTTGGACGAATTGTATAAACAACCTCAAGATCAGTCAGTGGAGTGACTAGATGTTCAAAAATGGGACTTCTAACTGCTTCCCTTTCATTCTTGTTGAATCACACTAGAACAGTTTACCGTATCCAATTTAAAAACAAGTACTGACTATGACCTATGTACCTTGCTCCACAAGAGCATATGAATTAGTAAACACGAAGTATTGTAGGATCGAACAACTTTACGAAATAAAAACATATTTATCAATTGAGTACATGTTTAACGCAATCGACATTGAATAGTACAATTTTTTGTAAATGGTTGTCCCAACCCAAAGTATGTGCTGTAAGATTCGAACAGGTAGCCTATAAATTGAGAAGTGTGTTCTCGAACCAATATGTGACTGACCTCTCTTAATGTTCTCGAACGTAAGCCAATAATAATTACGAGTATTCTCACTCTTGAAATTATTCATATTTTGTCGCTAAGGAAATTATGATTTTTCTATATTATAAACAATAATGTAACTAATCATTTTACAGATCTCAAATGGCTATTTGGTTACCACATGATCGACTACCAAAAAATGTTTTAAAGTAAGCGTTTTTACACTTAATATCTTTTTATTTCTTCTGTTCTAACTTATTTGATTTGTGTATACTGTGTATATACGAAAAGTGATATTATAGAATTTTCACTGTTTTCTGCAGTCGGTTATTTCATTATACAAATGATTTATTATACTACATACAATTATTCTGTATTAAAACAAAACAGTTGTCCAATGATTGTTGATTTCCAATAGTCATTTATCTAAGATCATTTCATGATCTAAACTATGGGAGTGTTTCTTTGTGAAATATGTTCAGATTGTCAGTTGTTCCTTAATTCTCTTATGTATCTGTCTAATCATAGCGATCAATTCTATAATTGTAAAGCAAACTACGGAGCTATTCTACCTCAAGTTATAACCTGTGGTACAGTGTCTAGAAGAGCTGTTGAACCATTATGGTTAACTGCTAGTAATGCTGATGAAAATCGATTAGGAAGTGAAATCAAAGCTATGGTTCAATCACCTCCTGGTTATGTTTTTGTTGGGGCTGATGTTGATTCACAAGAAATGTGGATTGCTGCTTTAATTGGTGATGCAGGTGTTGGTTTCCAAGGTAATTATTATCCTTATTTATTCTGTTTTTATACTTCACCAGTATGATAATGCTTTTAGAGTATTATTTTTCTATCCATTATAATAATCCTTTACCAATATACTAGTTATCGATGACAGTGTACTACAAATAATGTTATTCTGTTTTTGGAATGACATAAAATCGCTATACTACCCCCGTACTGGTAAAGTCTGGTAGTGGAATAAAGAAAAAATGTAAAATTTCAACCTATGCTTAACTGGTTATCAATACATAACACCAATCATGTTATAATGTGTTATCATGTAATTGAGTTCACAAAAAACCAACTTCATTTTTGTAATGATTGATCTATTTTTATGAACAGATAATTCTTATAGTTTGCGAAATAAAACTCTTCGATGTGCTTATTTTACAAGATATAAGTCAAAATGATTTGAACAGTCGGTTACTGTTTACTCATATTGATAATAGACTATTCTGTCTATTGGATTAATGATTCTGGATGATAGATTCCAATGCAATAGAGGTGAATAAAGTCGTCTACATCGATAACTGTTTCGGCTAATATTAGCTGGGATAACTGTTTCTTATAGTATTTCTCATAGTAATACGAAAAAAATTGATTGGAAATTATAAGAAAACAGCAATTAATGCTTCTACCATATTGTAGCAATATTCTCTATTATTAGTTGAATGAGCAGAACTAATACGAGATATTTTTCTCAATGGTTGTCATTTGGAACAAATAAATAATAACATTAATACCGTTAGGTGCCGGCTCAGTGGTCTAGTGATTAAGTGCTCGCGTGTATGACCAGTAGGTCCTGGGTTCGTGGATGCGCACTGCTGAGGAGTCCCACAATGGTGATCTAGCTTCAATTGGCTCATGATCTCAACTATTGAAATAATTTTTCTAAAAAAATCTCATATTCCTAGTGCTTTTCTGTATATATTAATCCATTGTATTTGGAGCACTTCACAGCTAATCACTATTTTGATAAGTTATGATTCAATGGAAAAAATATTGCAGATCAGCTTACTGTCTTTTGTTTTAGAGCATATTTCTGATATGATGATTAGAAGTGATTTTTTTATTATCCATTTACTACTGGCTTTCATTTTCATACTCTTTTGTTTTGTATACTGTGGTAAATGTTTTAATTAGATATTATCTTAAAAGTATCATTTTTTACATGAATAATGGTTTTAATTATTGAATTATAGTCAAGAGATTGGTTAATGTTTCTGTCTTTTATTCAGTTGAGATTTTAAGTCGGACTGTTGCTTGCTTAAAGTGTTTGTGTCTGACCTCTTCTGTCATTCAAGTAATTATATCAAATCAGTGTTTACTGTCATAACAATTTCCGTTGATAGTACAATACAATATACAGCGTATTAATTTAGTATTCATGAAATTTTCAATGAATGAAAAACCCCTACTTTGTAAATTATCAGTGAAGGGATTTGTGGAAATCGTCTATTGCAAACCAACCCAATCACTGAAAAGCAGGAAATATTGGATAGTGTTTTCGTCTTATTGTGGGATTTCGCAGCAGTACTCATCCACAGCCCTAAAACATATCAAACCAGGAACCTTCAGATCTCGCGACGCATGGTTAATCTTTAGACCGCTGAGCCGGTATTCAATTGGTTACATTTCCAATTCCAACCAGTTGACGATACTACGTGGTCATCTTTCATTACTTTCTGCGGATAATTTGTCTCACATCCGACGTTGTTGAATTTCACTAGTCTAGTGCTTCCTGATTTCCAATGGTGGTCTAACTAAGACTCATTAATGATGTCTTTGTTTGGAAATGATCTGTGAAATAAGGCAATCAAGATTCACTGGTCAAGGTAATGCTTTAAATAATTTAAAAAGTACATCTAAAGATCAATTCTTCAACTATTTTCTTTCGTATTATACTTATGTAAAAATATATCAATGAATTTATTTATATGAAAATAAATTAAGAAGCCATAGCCCCATGGAAAGTCAATCAAAATAGAGGTGAATCATTAATTCATCAATAACAATATGATTATTGTTGGTTAATATGGTATAATGGATACACCTGCCGGATTAATCTCAGTTTCAGCTTGTATGTGTTGAGTTCATTTTATTCATGTTTAAGTTCATTGTGATAAACTTTTAGTAAATAATAATTTCAGAATATTATTCATGTATTGCTTATCTATTTTGTAGTCGTTATTATTTTTGACGTAAAGACGACAGATCGTGGAAACATATTTATGACTAAACATTTTGAAGGATATCTTTAAATTCCAATTTTCGAAATATGATTCCGTCGAACTTTTTTCAACTCATTATTATGATTTTGTACGTGTGTATATTTGTTTATTAACGTTCTTATCAGGCTCAACTCCATATGGTTGGATGACACTACAAGGCAATAAACTTGATGGAACTGATTTACATACAAAAATAGCTAAAGAAATGGGTATTAAACGAAGTGAATCGAAGGTGTTGAATTATTCTAGACTATATGGTTCAGGCATTGAATTTGCATCGCATTTATTAGCAAAATTCTGCAATATTACTGTAAGTTGCTTTGATTCTTACCCTTTGTACAGTGTTCTTTTCAGTAATAAATTTTAAAAACACTTTCAATCTCATCTGCATTTTGTTTCATTTCTTGTGCTTATTAACTAGTATTTAGGATAGATCTTGAACTAGTTATTTTATACATTTGCATTTAATTAATTACATCCACAAGAATAGCATATACCTAAGACTTACGAAATATAAATCACTTATCCAAGATTGGGATCAGTGTATTCCCGGATTCATCCTTTGTGGCAAGTTGTTTGTGTATCTGACTGAGTAGGTGTATGAATACAGTTCTGTTCTTGTAAAATCTCGGGTCACCTGTAGCTGGAAAAATTCATGGCTGTGTTCGGTCATCACTGTCTTCGAACGATAGTTTACATCTGACGGTGATGTTTTATGATAGCCTTCTCAATGGCGTCTTTGTGGTTCATTATTTGTGGATTCTTGAAGTAAGTGAGAAAAACAAAGAAGTGGTCAGCTTATGAAATTGCGCCATGACGTAGGGAATAGATGTATAAGGCTGCTATATGTTCACGACTCTCTGAATAGCGTTTTGAAGACTGCGGAACTCAGTGTGGCTCGATACGTTATTCGACATTGCTAAAAAAAGGCATTTGGCAGGGACTATTACATATTCAATAAAGCAAAGTGAACCATCTTAACTAACAGAAATTTATCCTGGTTGTATTTTTTATTAGAATGTGTATTTTATTAAATATTGATTTTGTCTATTTATTTTTTGATCATATGGATATTTCCTTTTGTTATTATTTCACAATATTATCATTTCGTTTGTGTGAGGAGTTCTTTCAATGCTCAGTCGCATAAGCACTTAAATGTTATCCATGAATAAATTTTATTTCAAGTTGAATATAGCTGTTATATTGCTACTCTCTATTTTTACTTTCCAACCATTTCAGCCAGAACAAGCTAGTTTAAAAGCAAAGCAACTTTTTCAAATTACTAAAGGACGCCGAACTATTGTGGACTCTTCTTTGCCTTCCGGAGATGGTACTTCATTATCAACGTCTAAATGGCAAGGCGGAAGTGAGTCAGCTGTATTCAATCAATTGGAATCAATTGCTCGTAGTCCAGAGCCTCGTACACCATTTTTAAATGCACAACTAACTCGTGCATTGAATCCGAAACTTGTTAAGGATGATGTAAGTATTTGGAGATTTTTTAGTTTTCGTTAAATATCTTGTTTATCATATATTTTATCATAAAATATTCTTATAGTAATAATAGTATGAAACTTTTTGTCGATTCCCGATAGTGAGCGTCTCTTCTCATAATAATGACGAAATTGACTTTTAGAAACATGATCTTTATCCTTTTTGTTAAATCAAGAAAAAACTTGCCGCACAGATTTCGCTAATATATCATTACAATAAGTAATGTATATATGTGTATCATAATCTTACTGCATAGTAATAATTGAATTTAGTTAGAAAAAACACAATAATGAAATAAGATTATGATTAATTCACATGAGTTGCAAAGGTTAGCTTACACGATAAATGACATCAAACAATCATTGGCTACAATTAGCGCGCATTGAAATCAGTTAACAAGTTCAGGTTTGTGTGAGTCTAACTTTTATACGGAAGCCTTATCATACTACCTAGATACCCAATCTGAAGTAGTAGACACTAGATGCGTTCTTTGAATCTGTCATTTCTAAGAAGAGAACCGAGTGATCTGATCACCACAAACTTTTTTTCTCTTCAGAAATTACGAATTACCATATTCATATCATTATTTAATACGAATTATCTTTTCGAATTTTAATTGTATACTTCTTTTGTTTGTGTTTTAGTTTTTACCAAGTCGTGTAAATTGGGTTGTACAAAGTTCTGCTGTTGATTATTTACATTGTATGCTTGTTTTAATGCGTTGGCTTATAAATAAATTTAAAATTCCTGCACGTTTATGTATAAGTATTCATGATGAATTGCGATATATTTGTCCAAAATCACATATGTATCAAGTTGCATTAGCTTTGCAAGTCAGTTTAGCTATTATTATTATTATTATTATTATTATTATTATTATTATTATTATTATTATTATTATTATTATCGGTGTTTAGTTCTCTCAAATCAATAAATAATAGTATATTATGTAAATAATTGTAAAACGCTTAGCGATTTTCAGGTATAATCAGGTTGATATAGATAGCCATGTTACATGTAAAGAACAGATAAATGATTCTAAATGCTTTTGAAGTGTGATACAGTTTTTTTTAAAAATTTTGAGGGTACACGCGTTACATGGATTAGAACAATGTAACGCATCAGTTGGAAACTATTGATTCTTTGTAGGTGGACTAGGACGTCCTGTTGATGTAGAGATAATGTATCTAATGTCATTTTCAGTTACAATACAGAGTAATAATACTTTTCTCTTAGTTCTCATTTTTGTTTTGTCTTAATTATCTTTGGTGACTGGATTTCCATATGTGTAGTTTCGAAGTGACATACTTGTTGGGGCCGATATGTCACCAAATTCATATTTTTAATTTTATCATATCGATTAAATGTTTAAATATTTGAATGGCAGTCAGTTGATGAACTTATCGTTTAAATTTTTAAATAGCAGACAATTGATGACTCATTAATTATTGTTTAAAAATTTCCTATGACAAAATCGATATATATTTGTATAAATACGCTTGACTTGTATGCTTGATCTGATCTGTCTGACCTGACTTGGTATCTGCTGCTGCTTGTAGAATACACTTTCTACGCCTTACCAAGACTTCTTGATCGAGTTAGCTGAGTCGAAGACAACGGACCAGAATGGTCTATTGAGTCTCTGAATCCTGAGCCTTCGTTCCCTTCCGAATAAGTCGAATCAGTAGTATCCTCAAGGTTAACGAACCTAACAATACTGTACCGGGACAAATGGTTATTCTGTACCATAATAAACAGTCAAAAGTCCGATGTCAAGTAATTGTCAGTGTCAACTGAATTATATTTTATTTCAGTAGTTTATGTACTTTTCATTAACAAAAATAATATGACTGGATTAGTTCATGTCATTGTAGGAACAGATTACTCTTGAAACATACAGATTAATAAAAAATATGGTATTGCTTTTAACCCCCGTTCTAGTACTTTGTGACCTACTGAGTCGTAAGTATATCAGGGGACAATAATTGATTCTATGAACTTCGGTTTCCCACGATCTCCAGTCAACCTGAATGGCAAGTTAATGTAGGTCCTCCGTCCCTTTACGAAGTTGAAAAAGCCATAGGAAATCTGAAACGAGGGAGAGCAGCAGGCCCTGACAGGTTTACTCCTGAGATTTTTAAGGATGGTGGTCCAGTATTAGCAATGAGATTAACCGAGGTCTTAGGTAGAATTTGGGAACTGGACGTAATCCCATCTGACTGGTCTCAATCACTGATTGTGCCAGTTTTTAAGAAAGGACAAAAGTCCTCTTGTGACAATCACAGAGGAATCAGTTTGACTAATATAGTGTCTAAAATATTAGCTTCAATAATACTTCGACGCCTAACTAAAGCTCGTGAAGAGCAGACTAGAGAAAACCAGGCTGGTTTTCGACCTGGACGTGGTTGTATAGATCAGATATTCACACTACGTCAGGTTCTAGAACACAGACACACATTCAGACGCCCCACAATGGTAGTATTTCTCGACCTTAAGGCGGCATTCGACTCGATTGATCGTGAGGTTCTATGGCAGTGTTTGTCACTGAAAGGAGTACCAAAGAAGTACATTAACCTTATAAAGGCTCTCTACTCGAACACAACTGGTCGAGTGAGAGCTTATGGCGAACTGTCATCAGAATTGATCACCTCAAGTGGTGTTCGTCAGGGCTGTCCACTCTCCCCATTCTTGTTCAACTTTGTGGTCGACGTACTTTTAGAGATAACACTCTCCTCATCTAAATTTACAGGGGTTGAACTTCTACCAGGAGGTTCACTTGTTGACTTAGAATATGCTGATGACATCGTTTTATTTGGTGAAGACACTGACAAAATGCAGAGTCTTCTGGCCACTCTAAGCAACAATGCAAGCATGTTCGGGATGCGATTCTCTCCCTCGAAATGCAAAATGTTGCTTCAGGATTGGGTTACATCGACACCCGAACTAGTGATAGGGAGTGAAGTAGTTGAGTGTGTCGACCGCTTCACTTATCTTGGAAGTCTCATCAGCCCTTGTGGTTTAGTGTGTGACGAAATCTCAGCACGGATACAGAAGGCTCGACTAGCTTTTGCCAACTTGCGTCATTTATGGCGTAGGCGAGATATCCGTCTATCAACCAAAGGACGTGTTTACTGCGCAGCAGTTCGTTCCGTCCTACTTTATGGCAGTGAAACATGGCCGGTAAGAGTAGAGGATATCCGTAGGTTACTAGTATTTGATCATAGGTGTCTTCGAAACATTGCTCATATATCATGGGACCATCGAGTAAGTAACACAGTTGTTAGGAAACGGGTACTAGGTAAGGATGGCAAATCAATTGATGACGTAGTGAAACTTCATCAGTTGAGATGGCTGGGACACGTGTTACGTATGCCCAACGACCGACTGCCTCGACGTGCTATGTTCAGTGGTATAGGAGTAGGTTGGAAGAAAGCTAGGGGCGGCCAAACCAAAACATGGCACAAGTCCATGAAGTCACTGACAAGTGAACTGAGTCATGTTGGTAGGTGTAGACTACCTGGTTGGGGACCGCGAGATGACAGCAACCGATGGTTAGAGACCCTGAATGACATGGCTCAAAATCGTTTGCAATGGCGCAGGTGCATCCACTCTCTGTGTTCTCCCAAATTCTAATCTTCTGAATTCTTCATGTCCCTTTTTTCCTCTTTCCAAATTTCTTTCACTGGATTATACTCTTTAAATAACATCTCCAAACCCTAATCTTCCCGATTACTGCTTATACTCTTATTACCTCTACCACTACGGGATTTGAATCGACAAGTGCATCTCTGTGCTAATGTGGTGTGGCAACTCGAACTGATGTACGTACGTACGAAGTTCTACGTTGTTACTGACTGACTGACTGAAATTAGCCACAAATGTGCTACTTCTTGTGTTTATTTTTTTAACTAACCTCAAAATTTCATGCATACTACTGATAATACTAAAATAAATTTCTGGAAACAATAGAAATAGCATGTTTAATTAGGATTTGTTCTGAGAAGTTATGAATTAAGATAAGATAACGTTTGTTCGATGACTTTTCATTTTCACCTCTTCTTAATCTGTTTACTCATGATACAAACTACTTTTTGCTCATAGTAATCTCATCATAAAAGTTCATACCACTTTTAGTCTCCAACAAGTTTGTCATCTTTATTTGTCTTTTTATATTTTTTTTTAACGAAAAACATCATTTCAACAGATTAGCAATCTACTGACAAGGACATTCTTCGCCTATCAATTAGGCATGCGCGATCTCCCGGAAGTAAGTTTCTTTTCTTAATACTGACTTTTTCACCAATTGTTCAACTTTAAAATATTATTATGCTATTATTAAATAAATGATAATTTCTATGAGCATGAAAGAGATAGAATAAAAAGGAAGTTGGCACTAGCTGAACTAGAAACCTATCGACAAATAGAGAGGAAGATCTCCGATTAGTGGGTTTTCGGATAGTCAGGTCCTGAAAGCAAGTGCTACTAAGGCCTGTGTGGATAGGCCGTTCTCCCTGAGAGTTTTCTATACCGATACTCATAGTCTAAGAAATAAATTCTATGAACTAGGAGCATTAGTGGACAAATTAAAGCCACTCATTGTAGCTGTGAAAGAAACGTAGTTAGTCCATGACTTAGATATTACCCCAGAATTATCCGGATACCACTACCTAAGGAGTGATAGATATAGATGTAGGAAAGGAGGTGGTGTCCTTTTATATATAACCAATACTATAAATATCCACTCCTTTGTTTGCGAATCCCATGATAGTGTGACTTGTGAGGTCATTTGCTGTGAGCTGACTATCGGATGCCGCACATTTCTGCTCGGTATCATATATCGCAGCCCAATCTGCTTAGCTGATGACTTTATTTTAGAGCACATTCAGTCACGGAGTTCAAAGAACAGATGCTTGAAATTAGGAGACTTGGATGCATCTGATATTAGTTTAATTGGGGCGGTCATGGTAGGATCTATGAAGTCCATTGATAGCAGGTTCCTGATAACGGTCATGGAGCATGCATTAGTACAGCATGTATCCAAACCTACTCGTTTTGGTACAAACCAAGGTTCTTCTTTGTTATACTTGGTAATCACTCATGCGACTGAGAATATTGCCAACCTAAATATTCTTCCATTGTTAGTGAATAGCGATCACTCTGTTTTTTCATTCACGTTTCAAGCTAGTGACATGATATACGATCAGGTTAAGCCTCGCTCAAATGTGTAGAGAGCTAACATATCAGCCATTCAGGAGTGTGCTGCTAAAACAGAATGGATAGTAGATACTAGCTCATCAGTTGAAGAAGTATGGTCTATATTTAAAGGCAAGCATAGTTCAGTCACGTCTTCGTTTATACCGTAACTGGTACCACGTAGACCGAATACCAGTCCACCATGGATAACTAAACAGGTCAGGAAACTCCATAGGTGCAGGAAAAAGCATTGGAATATGTTCATCTCTACTGGTCTAGAACAGTACAGATCCAGTTATTGTAAGACTAGGAATGCTTGTAAAGCGTTGATCAGCAAAACTACACGGCCACATGTAAAACAATTGGTTAGGGAATGTGACACTATCCCAAACGCTTATTCTCGCATATGAACAAGCGAACTCAGAGAAAAGATGCAATACCATAACATTTGGCACAATAAAATCAGATGGTATTGGAAAGAGATGAAGTCGAAAAACCCAAAGCTTTGTCGGAATATTCTAATAAAGCGTTTTCTATCAGCGATGAGGAACGACCAACCATTAGATGTGATTGGGGTGGCTTGTCGATGGATCCTCTAGTTATTGAAGAAGGTACTGTTTTAAGATTACGTCTCGTTATCCTATTATTGAGTTGAGGTGTTGTTGTGGTCGTATATTCGTCTTCATCAAGAGTAAGGATTGAGTGGCTTTTATCCGACTTGGAGAAGAGTAAGTTTTAGCAGTCCACAACTTTGTAAATCTTTCATCTGTGATTAACCGTGTTGGAGTACCCAGTTTTTGTAATGTTTCAATCGTGTTCTTATATCTGGGTTGTTTGGTCAGTCAACAGGAATGGGATAGTACACGACTTTATTGTTGTGTGCTGGGTTCAGAGAGGTTTATATGTTGCATGTATGCAGTCCACCCTGTTGTAGTTCCAATCCAGTCCGAGTCCTGATCCACTTATTTTAGTTCGTGCAGTTCGGTAGTACCACAGACTCTTACACACATGTGAAGTGTGTCTCTGTAAGCCGAGTACAGGAATCTGTAATTGGTGAGTTATATCAAAGCAGTTGTGCATGTATTCCGCTTTATTTCAGCCTATGTACTAAACAAATATGATACACAGGTTGGCCATCCTTGTAGTTTTCACCACCACACTGCTCTTAGTCTACTCAGTTCCGTTTTGTTTGTTTGCTTCGTTTTATAATATTATTTTTGTACGGGGTGTCTGTAATATGGAGACAAGATAATGAGAATCGGTAAAATAGCTTTTGATGTTTTACGCAGTCGTTTAGAATTCTTTGTAAAGATTTTTTTGTTATGATATAGCGAGAACGACAGTGTTGAGCGCATTAAATGCTTATTTTGTTCTATGCAGATTGTACGTGACAGGTAAATGAATGAGTTGTTGTCTCAATCTCTTTTTTTCGTAATAAACTTTGAAGGAAATCAATCTATTAGTATTTCACTGCATAATAGGCTAACTGATGAAGTACGGATGCTGACTGAGATAAATGATGATTTTCACTGATGACTTCCTCATATTTTGGTGTTATAACTCGGTTTGTTTGTTGCCACAGGGCATTTGTTAACGATGATTTTGTGGGTGATGACGAATTTTCTATGAATGTGTTTACTTATTTTTGATAAGAACTCTGAAAGAAACTTCTTTTGTGAATATATTCACTTTAGTTTAATGAGATGATATAGTGAATCCTTTCCAATATTGGGATTGGAAAGTGGATAATATTTTTTGAAAAATGCATAAAGTTCTTGAAGTAAGGCACAACAAATTAACGTCTTATTACTTTTGTTGTGAGATCCTTTTAGTTTATTCAGACTATGTTCACTGAATGGATGTGGCTTATCTATCTCACTGTCTCTCCCAGAATTTATGTATGCTCTACTTTCACTGAATTCGTCTTATCGAATGAGGAAGTATTAATGATTTCTTTAATGTAATCATTAAACATACTAACAGAAACTGAATATTTTACACCATTAATTCGCTCACACACGAACAGATAATATTGTCGTCAAAGTAGGAACACTGATAGAATAAGTTGATTTTCTTCATGTTTACATATCTTGTTTCTTATTCATTGTACCTAGAGTTAAACTGCGTTACGTAAGATAATGTACCTAGTAATGTAATACATAATATATTTTTTAATTGAGAAATCTAGTTTCGTAACTCTTTTTTAATTTTGACTTATGCAATAGATTTTACACGCCTTATTTACAATGTGAATGAATAAATTTGAAAAATAACTTGAAATATCATTAGTATTGTGAACTTTTTTTTTTTCAATCATTGATCTACATTTCATCATCAACTCCTATATTTATAAAGATTTTTACCTGTAAATCATGATTGAAATTTGTCTGTTCCTTTAAATTTTCATTATTTTTGAGTATCCCATTGATCAAACTAACCTTATCATCGTTGTTCTTTATAGATAGGTGTTTTATCATAATCTTGTTATTATAAATGTGTAAAATATTCTCTACACTTTTGATTTCTAGTGGTTTCTGATTTTTTTTTCGAAATTTTAGTATTTGAGTTTAATCATAATTTATTTTTTTCTTTCAGTGTTTAATTATTTTTCATTATTACTCTCTTTAATTTTTTTCTTATCGGTTGTTTTCTGTTAGTCAGTAGCATTTTTCAGTTCAGTTGAAGTTGATACCTGCATTCGTAAAGAGGCCAAAGATGATTGTGTTACTCCATCAAATTCCGGTGGTTTGCAGAACGGTTATGGAGTATCTCCGGGTCAGTCGTTGACAATGCAAGATATTCTTGACAGAACTGGAGGATCTATGAAGTTGTGATATAGAATTATATTTTGAACTGTTGGATTATTTTTTACCCACTTCTGTATAATTTATAGCGCCTGTTTGCAAATACTATCTTTGATTTAAAAGATTGAAGGTTTTTTATGTGTCCAATTTAGTCTTATCGGTTAGAGCTAATGTGTACAGTATTCACACTTTTTGGAGTGATTTGTTACAGTACATACGCATTCGTTTCAATAATCTATGCGAGTAAGTGTTGAAAAAGTAGACCATTTGTAAGTGGAGTTTTCATAAGGAAGATAATAAATTCAGGTAATAGCAAACGATAACCCTTAGTATGTGAGGTGGATTGTTAAGTCTTGCTGATTGGACGCTATATTCGTTCCTAAGCTATCCTGATAACCCGCATACTAGAACTATACAGCGACGTGAACACCAGAAAGAAGACGCAAAGTATGAGAGAGACACTTTACTCCAAGTTTCGATTTTGTACAGAAGATATGGGTATTTATAGATGTTAACGTTTGTTAAATCAACATCATATTTTGGGCAATCCCTTAACGACATATTATGCTACTGACCAATAGTAGCACGCCACGTTGGAATTCTAGAATGCTCCATCATGCTCTGATTGGCTAGGACTCTTCGGCTCCTTTTAGGCCTCTGGAAGCTCCATTGAAGTTCTCCGAAAGCCGACTGAACATGGATCTTCAAGAAATAATTCATGCTTACTGTTCTAACGTCCCTTTGGGTAACCGGTTTACTCTTGTTCTACCGCAGACCCTATGTTGTAGTTAATTGCTTTTTACTGTATTTCAACAGTGCAATCTGTTATTGACAGGTTCATAGATAGATCGCGTATCACTGATATCACATAGTTTGACTCCTTACGATGTCCCAAAAATTAGACACAAATTTTTCAGGTCGAACACGGGTTATGATAACCAGTCTCGAATGCTGGTTGTAAAATGCTATTCTCATCCTTACGGGCGATGCTAGGCAGTCAGCGCAAGTGTACTTAATTTCTACTCCTTGTAACTCTAGTATGTTTGGCTTGATTATGGTCGTGGCTCAGCGTGAAGTAAAGTTAACGTGAAAGTTTTCTGATGTGACATTAAACGGGTGAGCGGCATGATTGTACTTCCTTATTTTTTTCCTTGAGTTATATTCTCACTATAAAAACGTCAACTAAGCTCTGTCATGACCAGAGACTGTCACTCAAGAGACATACCCTCTTTATCCGCTGCTGCTGCCACTACATAGTGCTGGCACCTTAGAAGAGCTCCAAAAAGTGAGGTCGTAGTGTTTAGTTTATTTAACAGCACAAGGCAGTAAAACAATCTAAAAACTCCCAAGTTGCTTAATATTTCGAATTGGCCATTGAGGTAAGTACAACCTGGATATTTTGTTGATGATCTCCATGTGTCCCTCTGTAACTTTTCTGCATTTCGCCTACGTTTTAAAGTGCTACTTCAATTTATTTAGCCTATCAGGGCGCGTAATCTGTAAATTTTTCTTCTCGATCTTCGTAGGAAGGCTGTTAGAGAGATGACCGTTGACAAAGTTGCATGATTGTACCACAGACCTAACTTCTTTAATATCAAGAATAATATAATTGGATTCCTCGTCAAGTATGTATCTTAGCAGTCCTTTCAAATACCCTCTGGACCTTTGTTTTAGTGTAAGGAACTCTGTGTTGTGAACAGCGTATCTTACCAACCAGCGACAGTGTTTTTGCTGAATATAAATCCGATATTTTCTACTACTTCTCCAATCACGTTCGGTAATTACATTGGTTTCCTCGTCATATATGTGTGTAATTCCAACAGGTGGTGTGTTAGCAAGTTCATTAAAATTCTGAGTTGGAATCTCTCTCAGTCTCAACTAAAGGTTGTGTATGTTGTTGGAGCTTTTAAAAATGGATCATATAACAGCGATTTCATGCCTTTAATGCTCAGTGTATTAAACAGTAAGCTATATCCTCTTCCTTTAGTTAACAACTGAATTGACAAACTAATATTAATCTAAACTACATCCGTGCAGTCGCCTAACGAAGTATATATTTTTAAAAATGAATATTGTTCGTGAACTGTTGTTGGAATTACGGGCAAGTGAACCTTTTCCACGCTATACGCATATCAACTTGGTTTACTAAACTTTAGTGTACATCGGATGATTTGCATAATAAAGGCTAGGTCTATTCAGGAATTAATATTCCTTGAGGTTCCTTTACTCAGCAATTTTGGCTGCCTCTCGTAATAGAAAGATTATAATACTAGATTAGGTAATACGAATAATAACATTAGATTTAGTGAATATAATAAGATGATTAAAGTATTTTTGTTACGATAATTAAATTCATAGAGGTGTAAAAGTAAATAAGGTGATATGATGAGTGTTTATGAATAAAATAATGAGGATATAAGACATAAGTAAAGTTCAATGCAGTAATAATAACGATAAAATAATAATAAGTCCAAGGTAACGATAAGACGTGCTTCTTTTGTACGCATAGTTCTGGTTTAAGCTCCTGGATGGTAAGAGCTTCGTCTATCTTTAGTTGGACACGGAGAAATCTAGGTAGATTTGAAGGAATCATATAAACAACCTTAAAATAAAACTGTGGATTCGTAGAATGATTAGTCGATTAGGTGTTCAAGTACAGAACTCTAAACTGCTTTACTTTCACCCTTGTAGGACCAAACTGGGATATATTCTCATATCCGAGTTGAAAGCGAGCGCTGGCTACGGCCAATGTACCTTGCTCCACAAGAGCAGGTGAACTGGTAGATGCACATGGAGGTGAGCAGACGCGGAAGCTTATCTTTTATGGATACTAGTGAAGGTTGTCCGCAGTTTTGCAGCATTAAATGTTCTTTTATTCGCTGTCGTTAGGCGATTTTTGATTACGTCAGATGTTCAATTCCCTTTAAATTCCAGACTTATAAACAGGTTTTTCTTTGGGACGGAAAACTAGATTTCCTGCCGCAACTACTATTCATATTCTTCTCTATGGAACGGTCTGGGTAGCCATTTTCCGTCAAGGTTTTCCTGAGGAATGCGAGTTCTTCGTCTATGTATTCCATAGTGCATATCCGATGTACTCGATGACATCACGAGTGGATGAGATTTCTATTTCTACTCAAAGGGACTCAGGTATAGAAGTTGGTTAGCTGGCCATTCTGTGTTTATTTTCTAAAGATGGACCTTTTCAAGGAGCCATTACTCCTTCTCACCAGACGCAGATCGAAAAAAGAGATTGATTGGTTTCGCCCACTCTTTAACGTGAAGTCTATGGAAGGATGGCATGACTTGAAGGTGCGTAAGGTATCCTCTAATTCAATATTATCATTACAAACGACAAATGTGTCGTCCATGTATCTTACGTATAGGTGAAATCGATTAATCATTGAACTGAGTTGGTTGTTTTCTAGTTTTGCCATGAAACAGTGCTAACTGGTTCCAATTTTCAGCTAAATACTGGGCGATTCGGTGGTGTGGTGAACTCGACATATCCGAAATAGGTCGTAACGGTAAGCCAGGTTTATGCACTTTCGGTAGTTCATATAAGCGCGGGATGGTTGAACCCATTGGACGTATGTGATCATATGAATCTGGGGTTATTATCCCCTTATTCTTAAAATTTTTAACAACATCTGTTAGCTGTTTTTCGATTTGCAGTGTTTTGTCTACTTCGCTTTTGGGTTTGGAAAATTTAATAACATTCTCTATGATTAACCTCATTCTATCCAAAAATTCTTGGCGGTCAAGTAGTACTATACCAGCTCCTTTTTCAGGTTTACTTAGGATCAAATCCTTATTTCTTTTCATTAGCTGATCAAAATGGCTCTTAGTTAATAAGTTATTTTTACTACATTGAATATTAACATATCAATGACTACAGTTCAGTAATGTGGATCTAAAATGCTGAAGATCTTGTGGGGATATCGGCACAAGATCATCAGACATGCGTAATTTTTATACAGGTAGATCAGACCGCATCACACCATAAAATGAGAAATCACAGTTATGCAAGATCGAGCCAAGGGTGGCTGTGAGCATGGGAGACTGTAACTGATAAATTGGGAACAACTTGAAGAGAGTAAATCGTATAATAGTAGTCATTTAGTCAAATAAAGTCTTGTAATATAAGGAATAAATATATGTAATAACAGTCCATAAATAATTACTGAAAGTTACGAATAATTTATTATTCGGATATAACACAATGCATTCATCTCCTCATAACGAGCTGACCTTTATCCACTCCTACTACAGTTGGTGAAGTAAACTCTTAGATATTAATCTCAAACAATGAATCAAATCTAAGTCATGTCCCATCTCCGAGGGTGTCAAAGCATTCCTGTGTATATTAAACGAGTTTTTTTAAATCTTTTCAGATTTCTTTAGTTTGATGATCTTGTTTTTTATAGTTTTAAGTACATTTCTTGCAGTCGTGTGGGACCTTTCAAACCTCCACCTGTGTGTTCTTCTAGCTTCGTTATAGTTCTCATTAGGCAAAAGCGTTCTGCAACACTTAGTAGAGCTTGCCGATGCTCTTGTTCATTGTCCTGTAGTGACGTACTTTTATCAAGAGAACGCGATTGGTTTAATGGAGACAATTATTATTATAACCGATTGTACCAGTGATTGTCTTACTGTACTTGTTTGCCTGACAGTACTAAAGACATTCATTCTTCCGTTGATTGTGACCTTGCACGTGCTCACGTTTGCTCAGTGATTCTGCTTGTACTCTTTTGGCACGATCTCGGTATTCTTTCGATACCACGAGGTCGCCAACAAATATATCTCGCTACAATCTGCAATCGCCTTCTAATATCTGGTACGAAACCCTCTTGTAGTGGTGATCATAGTCAACCGCGACTCGACGCCACACTACAGTCCCGGCAAGTAAATCCTTTTCATTTCATTACTGAACATCTTTTTTTATAGGCCAGTCTGGGATTTCCACTAAATTATTTTAAAAAGCACTCGTAGAGCCTAAAGTGTACTTTGCCAAGCTTGATATTGAATTTTGATCTCCAAGTCACAATACTCAAGCTAAACGTAGGATGCATCAACGTAAACATACGTCCTAGTCTGCCCGCAGATCTAGTAATCTTGAAAGCAACCAGGTGATGCTGCATATGAACCCAGATAGAGGTGAAGATTTACCATTTAAATCCCAGAGTCCTAGATTCGGTCTGCAGTAAGACCGCATATGTATCCAAAATTAACACTAAAATAAATGAATTTTATTTTCAGGCTCCTATTATATGAGTCTTGAAACTTCAAAAAAATCAAGAATGGTTATGAAACTACTAAACACATTCCTAGAAAATTCGTCATCACCCACAAAATCATCGTTAACAAATGCCCTGTGGCAACAAACAAACCGAGTTATAACACCAAAATATGAGGAAGTCATCAGTGAAAATCATCATTTATCTCAGTCAGCATCCGTACTTCATCAGTTAGCCTATTATGCAGTGAAATACTAATAGATTGATTTCCTTCAAAGTTTATTACGAAAAAAAGAGATTGAGACAACAACTCATTCATTTACCTGTCACGTACAATCTGCATAGAACAAAATAAGCATTTAATGCGCTCAACACTGTCGTTCTCGCTATATCATAACAAAAAAATCTTTACAAAGAATTCTAAACGACTGCGTAAAACATCAAAAGCTATTTTGCCGATTCTCATTATCTTGTCTCCATATTACAGACACCCCGTACAAAAATAATATTATAAAACGAAGCAAACAAACAAAACGGAACTGAGTAGACTAAGAGCAGTGTGGTGGTGAAAACTACAAGGATGGCCAACCTGTGTATCATATTTGTTTAGTACATAGGCTGAAATAAAGCGGAATACATGCACAACTGCTTTGATATAACTCACCAATTACAGATTCCTGTACTCGGCTTACAGAGACACACTTCACATGTGTGTAAGAGTCTGTGGTACTACCGAACTGCACGAACTAAAATAAGTGGATCAGGACTCGGACTGGATTGGAACTACAACAGGGTGGACTGCATACATGCAACATATAAACCTCTCTGAACCCAGCACACAACAATAAAGTCGTGTACTATCCCATTCCTGTTGACTGACCAAACAACCCAGATATAAGAACACGATTGAAACTTACTTCAAGAATCCGCAAATAATGAACCACAAAGGCGCCATTGAGAAGGCTATCATAAAACATCACCGTCAGATGTAAACTATCGTTCGAAGACAATGATGACCGCACACAGCCATGAATTTTTCCAGCTACAGGTGACCCGAGATTTTACGAAAACAGAACTGTATTCATACACCTACTCAGCCAGATACACAAACAACTGACTGCTTCTAGAAGACTTCAAAATTCCTAACGTCACTTTCACGGAACATACGTATATTGGATGTGAAAATTCTATGGACTTTCGGTTCTTCAACCTCATTGACGAACTGGGATTAATCGAAAATGTGAGGTCGACAACTCGTTGAAGAAACAGTCAGAAGCCGTCGCAATTGGACTGTGTACTTACAAACGATGAACTCCAAATTGACAACCTCTCATTGATAGCTCCCCTGGGGAGAAATGATCACACCGTCATAGCCTTCAGTTTTATCAGCCAAACTGAGCTAACACATCTCACCAACAACAGGCGCTGGAATTTTGAACGGTTGAATGTGTCAGCTTTACAGGACAATCTACAACAAGTGGATTGGGAAACTCGCCATCAACTTGATGTGGATGCTCATTAGGATTTCTTACTGCATGTGATCTTATGTGCTACATAGCAGTCTGTTCCTCAAATGGTTCCCAAAATCTACGAGCAACCTACAGTCATCAAGTGCTACACTCTTCATTTGCAAAGCCGCAAAAGACACTGTTGTGCGGACCACAAACGAACTGGTAACAAGGGAGCGTACAGGCAACTTAAACTAGCAAGGAACATATGCACAAATGTAGTAAGAGAAGACAGTCTTCAGTACCAGATACAGCTTATCGATAAGTTTGTCTCCAATCCGAGAAGCTTATTCCGTCGTGCAGCCTCTCTTCGACAAGCCCAAACTGAAGTTTCCCAACTGCTAGGTCTTAACGGCCCGACCAACAACGACGGTGACGCCGCCAACCTTTTGGCCTTTGATGGGGTTATCCATATATGTTTTATGAATATGCTCAAACGACTAGGTATCAAATCATCTTTAATTGATTGGATCACTTCATATCTAGAAGATCGACATTTCAAGGTCAGGTTTGACTTCCTTTTCTCTCAGGCTATCGAAAGTCATGGTGGGGTCTTCCAGGGTTCAGTACTAGGAACTCTTCTTTTCTTGATTTATGTAAGTGATCTTCCATAACAAGTATCGTCTGACTTATTACTTTTTGCTGATGGTGTGAAACTTTCGAGAGAGGTAATCAACCAAGAGGATAAACTGGCACTTCAGGAGGAGTTGGACAGATGACGACAGACTTACCTTTAATACTTCAACGTGTAAAGTAGTGCATCTGAGACATGTTGCAGACTACAATTACAACCTAGGAATCTCTCTAGAAGTATTCCAAGACGAAAAATATCAGGGAATGTTGATGTACTATGTTCTTATGCTAACCGTAACAAAAATACTTTTCAAAAAACCTTGCACTACTAACGCTGAAGCTCATTTTGGTCCAATTAGAAGGAGGCACTTTCTACATAATCTCCAACAGCTTTATTCGTTCCCATTTAGAATACAGAAACGGTATTTCCTCCCTCACTCCAAGAGGATAAGAACCCTCTGGAGCGTATCCAACGGCGAGCCACAAAATCAGTTTGGGGACTTAAATCCAAGCGCCTCAAATCTCTGAATCTTTACCCATTAATGTACAGGCGTCTTAGAGGTGACCTGAGGGTTCTTAAGAACTACGGATAATATCTTACTATGATTAACCAATTTTTTCCTCTGTTATCGTTGATATACCTAGGTTCCTGCCTGGAAGTATTGGTGATCAATTGCTACTAGACACGGAAGCTCGTTAAGCGAAAGCTTCTTCTATTCCGTTCACAACCATATGAACCATTTGAACCATTACGTCGACGTGTTTCTGGTCCAGCTAGTGCCAACTTCCTTTTTATTATATATTCAAAAGATATATGAGGTTTTATTCGAAATTCGGTATTGTTGTGACTACAAGCGCTACTTAACAGATCATGTTGCCTCACTGACTATAGGATTACCTTAAGGTATCTCTATGGTCGGGGTTCAACACTATCGTCGGTCCTCTTACCTATTCTTACTCATTCTTAGACTATCTCAATCGATTAAGCAAACCAATCCTTTAAAAAGTAACTACAGACCTGAAGCCGTACTCTACTGTCAAGTTACAGATGCGGAGAAATCATTTTGTTTATACGAGCTCACCCAAAAATATTGGTTATTGACTCGACAGCTTTAGTGACGTTGGTGCTACTTGTGTAGGTTATGTTGTTTACAATCGGTGTCCCAAATAACTGTGTTTTCTCTTGCATTTCTCCCCGCGCTTGTTTACAAATCAACAATATTTTAGTATTTACAAGTGTTATGACACTATTTTTCCGAAGGTATAGACAGGTCACACAACGTTTGTGAGTCAGTGAAACGCTAATTCACCGACGCGTTGTTTGTGAAGAAGCAGTTGAAAAAATTTCAACCTACAGATTGGATGTTAGACAGTTTGGCGTAAATTTGGGCGGAATTTAGATAATTCGGTGAACATTTAGATGGAATGCGAACATTTTGGCAACTACTATGGTGTTGAGGTGTAAATCATTATATTTCTATCCGAATTAGGACTGAATTCCCTAAGCTGGCGTTGCCCGTATTTCCTCAAAGTCCGCCTTTATTTTCCCATTGTGTAATTGGAAATCAGTTCTTACTGGTTTGTCTTATAAAAGAGCAATACGAATACTCAAAGCTTGCTCTAGACTTATTGGAAAGCATTATTTAAACAAGAAAAGTTTTGAAGTGTCAATTAAGTGGTAAGTATTCAGTGCACCAATATATTTTTGATTTTCCCCTGAGGGATGTGAGTATTACGAAAATGTATCCCAAACAGCCAAAAAAGGGGAAATAAAGGCGAACAAAGGGGAAATAAAGGGGTAAATGCTTTGGTAGCGAAAGGGGAAGACGCGCCAGAATGTCGCCTTTTTCGCCTGTCCGGGGGAAATAATGTGGATTTCCCCCTTTTACCCGCTTTGTCGATAAATAACCGACTTTTCGCCTAAATATCCGCGGATTTGCCTACTTTTCGCCTAAATATCCACTGAATTGTCGAATTTTCGCCTAAATATCTGCCGAATCTTCTACTTTTCACCTAAACACACAGAACTGTTTATTTCTGATCCATTGGCATGACCCCAAAGGTCTTCTATGTTCGCCTTTTGTTTCAACAACAGACCAAAAATAAAGTCAAATGCACTGGAAGACCGGTATACTTTTAAAAATTTTATTTAAAAGGAAAAGCTTATTATTGTACAACATTATAGCTGAAGCTTCAGCATAGATTGTTTTTCATTTCCATTGTAACTGCTAATTTATTGTTATTTGGCAATATCTGCAAAAGAAAGAACAGGTGATGTATTATTTATAAGGAATGTGCATTTAATCACTAGTTCACAAACAATCAACACTTCAATAGCTTCCCATGCTAGTAAAAAGGTAAGCTGTGCCACCGAAAAATGTTTATTAAAAATTCGGTATAACAAAAAGAAATTGAACGGACGTTTGCCTTCAGCCACGTATGTTCGGCTATTGAAAATTAAAACAATGTTTTTGTGAATTCTGAAATGTCCAAAAAAGAAACAAGTCACAAGGACATCTGAATGACAGGCTTTGGCACAGCAAAATACTTTATGCGGAACTCACGGTTATGTCCGTTAACGCTGATGACTGTAACTGTAGAGCCGTAAGGTAAGTTATCACTTACAGTTAGTACATACTTGCTCTTCTTTCCTTCTTTTACGCTTTATCACTTTGTCTCTGACATCGTCAAAATAACCTTGTGTGGCTATGTCGTACAGCTTCTCATGGTCTTTCTCGTTCACAGAGGATGATAGAAAACGATTTGTTAACGCACCTGAAGTTTAAATACTAAATATGAGTTACTTCGTATGCAGCCGTAAAACCGACATTTCTGAAGTGCTCGTTTTGAAGAGGTGCCAAGTAACGTGAATTTACTGGCAACCTCAGGTGTCAATAGGTGCGACAGAACATACCGCATAGATGTTTTCGGATCGTCACTTGATAGCCTCGTAACCATTGCCATCTGTGATAGGAACAAATTATTACTTTAATGTTGATGACTTACAAATCGGTCTCTGGTTTCTTGATGCTGCAAACTAGTGTCCAGCATTTGCAGTTCCTCTTCAGATGACAAAGGGGACTGCTGACTCGAGATTCCGCAATCGAATTGATACGGTTGTTCTCGTTCATTGGACTTACATAGCAATTGCTTGACGTTAATACTGAAGTCCGTAATGGCTGTTGACATTTTTCACAGCATTTTACTGAAGCCAGTCATAGTTGACGAAATGTTCTGCACCATTGTATAAAACCTATCGAAGCTGAAAAAGTGCACTTGATGATGCAGGTGACTTACTGGTCCGCTGTAGCACCACCGACACGCTTAGATTCCGATGTTGATAGTGATGTCGCTAATTGCGTCGAACTAATTCGTGAACATTTAAATAGTAATGAAACTTACTTTGCAATCGGCGAGACGAATTTGTCAAACAACCGGAATTTCGGATACTGAACATGACTATTTCCAGCCTGCATTTCAGCAACATCCATGTCTACTGAATTGTAAAGAAATTCTTCTTTACGCTTCATTGCAGCTCTAGGAAATGTAGGTAGGATTATTGTACATATGTATATATGTACTTATTTCCAGATGCCTTCAAAAATCATTTCCTTAGCTTAAACATACAAGTCGACTGTCTTGAGTTCAGGTCTGGGTGTTCGGAAATGTTATTGCTGTCGGCCTCATGGTTTAGGTATGTTTGGTTACCGAACCAGAATTACATATAGCTTGTTCCGTTTTTCACCTTTCAAATCCTTAAGAACTTGCTAGTTGTCATGATTCAGAATAAGTTGTAATGACGCGGATTCACTTTCTATTTTTCTCTAGATCTTGAGTCCCAGTGTATCTCCACACATACTTTTTTATTCTTTCTCAACGTTCAGTTTGTCTAACTCCCAGTTCTACCACTAGTGTTCCGAGTTTTGATATTCATCTTATTCACTTTATATTGTACTGACTTGGTCTCGTAACCAGAATCTACTTTAGTTACTACCGTCTACTACTCTGCATCTTTCTTTGCTAACTTATTTAATGTCGGTTTTCTGAGTTCTTCAGTTGTAGCGTCGGAGTTAAATTTGTTAAACTTTCTCAGCAACCTGGTGTGATGTAAATGGTTTCCTTTATTTGTGTAAACTAGCTTATATTGTAACAGGTATTAAAGTACCTTGACTCTTGACACTTATAGAATCTGACACCGTTCTTCATAAAAAAGGTTGACATTTTGGGTAAGGAAGATTTTGATAAAGTGATAACAGTGTGATCAATCTGATCGTATAATCTATGTCATCATATTACTCGCCTAATTTTCTTGTTGATTTATTTAGAAATACTACTAAAATCTGTCAGTACGAAAAATCATATAGCTCCTACCCAAGACAAATGAAAAATGCGAATGTACCATCCTTTGATGCATTCGATGCTCTGATGATTGAAATAATCAAATATTCAAATTCCGTTTCAAGTGATGTATTGTTTTTTCTGATAATTTCCATTCCTCTGATATTTGAAAACTCTAGGATTCGGATATTCGCTTTCTTGAATCCCTTGGTGTAAACGTAAGCGAAAAGTTAATCGAAAAGTTTGTGTGTTTGTTTTCTAACCTTTCACATTAAGAGCTACGAAAGATCATGCCAGGTTTATCAATGAATTAGATATTGTTAAATATGTATGCACAGAATTTTGGTCATCCGTATACCACAAACAAGTTGATACGCTTAAAACCAATTACCAAGTATGGTGACGTTCTTACTTATAAATTAAATAGGATGTTTACGTTCTGATTGTTAATGATTTTCAGCCTTTAGTGAAATTCGAAAGTATCCCAGAAGGCATATCAGAAATCCCAAAGGTAAACTTATGAATACTTTTATTTTGTTTTTAGTATCTGGCGTTCCCTTCAGGACTTTTGAAAGGAGCTTTGTGTAGTCTAGGGTTGAATTGTGTTGTAGCAGCAGATTGTGAACAACCACCTACATGTAAGTCTGCCTATAACAAAGTCACTCTTAGTAACAGGTAAATTCACAGTTACAGTGCTTTCTTACAGAGGTATAAGCTGAAATTGTGAACATATTTTGTTATTTGTGGATTAAACTGGCCTACTTATATATTTCTGATTTTTTATTAAACCGAGTTTTCTAATGTATTATGATTTCTGATTTAATTTTAGTCTTGCAGAAAACAACTCTCCCATTTATACTGTTATCTATGTTCCATAACCAGAGCGACAGACAACGTTTACTTAAACGATCATCACTTATACTTGGTGTAACGCACCTTTATCTAATTATCAACCATAAAATGGTATCCAGTTTGTAAGCGTGACTTTCTTATTGATTTTATTTTATTGCATTCTTCATTATTGTTCGAGTTTCGCCTTTGACTGTAGCTACGCGAGGATTGGTTTTACAGCATTGTGGACTTGCTCGAAGATTACATCTATTGGGGAAATAGGATCTAGACTTACTGGTATCTTTCACAACATTTTCTGTCTGTGAATTTCAGAGACGTATAATCGATTGTGACCATTTAGCGGAACAAAAAATACCTGAGCACATCGAATAATGACTGGCAAATCAAATGATCATTCGTGTATTATCAGATGCGGAAAATTTAATAAATAGGAATCTACCGAGCTACTTTATTGTAAAATGGTTGAATGTATATCTTAGTCGCTAGGTACTTAGTGTGTTGGATTTGTCCAAAATTTGCTTCTATTTAGGCTTAATAGATAGTGGATGCCTCAAAGGCGTTCAAAACTAATGACCAACAGCGAACACCAGTTCTACTTCTCTCTCAAGGGGTCACTGCCATCAAACGTTTCTAAATTGAGTGTACGGAAACGATACACGATCAACTCCTTTATATTGTAAATATAATCAGATGGTTTTGTCACTTAGTCTTATTTGTAATTGTTCATTAATGTTCACCTATGGAACTGACTTTGGTCCTAATTTTATTGATTAATGTGTACTTACTCACGCTTGTTAGTCCTCGTGGAGGAGCATAAGCTTTCCAATCATTTTTATTATGGCTGGTTTCTTAGCAATTTGTAGTACAATGTTTATTATCGTATTGTATCTCTCATTATGATTAGTTTTTATGTATTCTGAACATTTTATAAACTAAGCATGTTTTTGATCATATTGTTCTTCACAACTTGACGTTGCCTGTAACTCACGAGAACCGTTAAAATAGAATGAATTCATTTTACTTTACAAATCTTGTTTTTCTTGCTTTATTCTAATTTATCAAAGAATGTCCAAAATCATATCAATACGTCGGTCATAATTTCATCGAATTAGTTGTGCCAGGGTGTACGTTAATTAAGTTGAAGAAAATACTACTATGCATTGTTTGGCGGGATTAGTTGAAAAACAACTAGGCATCAGTCCTTGAAATCACTAACTTCTAATCTGAGCCATGTTGACAGATACTGACTGCTTGGTTGGCGTCCGCGCAACTATCGTAACCAACAGTTGAAGACTGGGTGACATGGCTCAAAATCGACCATAATGATGTAGGTGTATACTTCTTGTCTTTCTTTAAACCGTGGGATTAAAGTTACTTTATACCTTTATTTCTACGAGCTAATCCTTTCTTATTGTATCATATCCTTATATGCAGTCCTTCTTTTAGATATTACTAGCATTGAAGTAACCACTTCTATGAATTTGGTGTTTACGTTGTGCTGATGAGGTGTAGCGATTTGAACCGATGCATATATGTGCCTGGCCCTACGTTATAGTTAACTGAGTGACTAGTTGAAAACTTTTTTAGGCAAAAATAAATGTCAGTTAATGACTGTTGAATATATTTATTCACAAGCTAAATAGGTGTAAGTTTTAAGTCTGTTATCATACTACATATGTGCTGAGAATTCTTTACAGTAAATGGATTAGTGGACACAGATTTTAGTGTACAGGAGATGGTCACGTGTAGCACGTAGAGATTCATCATAACTTTTTAACAGACTTTATTAACTAAGACAGCATGTGACTAGTGAGCCATTTTTACCTTCCTAACAACTCTTGATAAGTGATGATGACCTTTAGTTCAACACCTTGTAATCCTACGATTACACATCTTAATGTGCTTGTGTGTGTCTGGACACGTATAATTTTATCCAGTGCTTATATTCTTGTCACAATAAATTATCTATTCTGAGTCATATTAACGCTTGCAATGAGTAATATTTTAAGTGGACAGATTTGTTTTCACCTCTTATTTTGTTGTCTGAAATTGGTTCAGTTTAGCCTTAGTAAAATATACTAAATCAAGCGGTGATTCTTTATTGGTGGTTCACTCTTCGTTCCCTCGTCATTCATTATGGAGTCAAATCGCGGGCACAATATATGTACTGACAAAATGTAGATAGGATTTTAATAACGACATAAAGCCTGATGTTGAGTTTAAAATTTCATATCACGAACTCACTTTTGTTAGGTAAATATTGAGAACCACTAAACAGTTGTTTTGTCCTGGTGTGAGACTTCAGTAGTCCACATATACGGCCTCACCAGGGGTCAGACCTTCAGGAATGTAAGTGTACAGGTACATCATATTCAGGCCTTCCAGTTATATGGTGCTGGCTGTTTTTTGGTCAGACTATATCCAATCCAGCACAAATTGGAGTTTTTCGAGATTAATCAATGGAACGTGTCGTATAATACGTATAACCTAGCGTGTAGGTACTGTTTTGTGTTGAAGCGTGCGGAGCCCCGTCTTTTGCTTGTGTTGTAGAAAACTCCAAATCCGTATTTTGAGTTGTACTTTGGAGGGCGATTTTTTAGTCACGATCCATATGTGTCCTTGTTTATGCTTTTCAAAATGAATCCTCACCCAGTATTTTTTAGAAAAGTCATTAAATCAAAATGTTTATTGTATTTTCTCAGTAGTTATTTGTTATAAGGTTGGTCGCCTATTCGGAAGATGAGGTAGTTTAGCAGTAAATAGATGTAGTGCGTTAAAGTCGACGTACGAACGTCAATCTCTTGACTTTCGGTAGATTATTAAAACTACTGTTCTATCCAAATTTCTCATCTGAAAATGATGAATATAACTTCTATATCATGACTCACTCGAAACCTAGCTATTACTAAGGTTAATAATGCTGATATAATAACCTAAAAAATTGGAAACCAGTTTCTTCATTAATTGTGATTAGGTTATGAGGAATTGTCTCATGGTTTCTTGTGGTCGGTCTTGAATGTAATTTGGTAGAAAATGTCCTTTCGTAAAAATGCTTTGAAGTGGCATACGTCTTGTCCGATTATTGGTTAGAACTCGGTAGTCAGAAATCTTACGCGTTTTGTGACTGTCGGTCGGGTTTGGCGTTCGTGATACCTAATTCATTATTCCGAGAAGCTTTAAAGTAGAGGATAATATGTGAAATCACTTCGGACGATCGTCTGAAATTACATCATTACGAATCAGTATTCTCTTAGAAGCCTCATGTTTATTTTCGGCAAACGAAGTGAGCTTTGACACATGTAGTGGTGCGTCAATGCAATAGCGTATTTCAAAGGACTATTAACACATGTAGTAGACGACTTTGGGTAAAGAAACAATCTGACACACAGTTTGTGCTTTCTGCTTGATTGCGGTATCACACCATTTAGCGTAGTGTCAGATATAACTATCACATTGGTTAACAAACTCGGTGTCACTTTATATTGGCATTTTCCAGGTGGGAACTTTTACCTCGTTGTGTGAGATATCATCACAGCACTAGATGAGTTGCCGCATCATCTACTAAGAGTAATCTGTAGTGTGTATATTATAAAATGGTGGGGAGGCAAATCACTCAAACTCGATCGTGTTTCCTTTGAACGGTGGGTACTTCGTGTTTGAAGTCGGTTGCGCGGTTTCTAGGTGTTCTGAAAACGTTTGGTTCAATAGCTTTGTTAGAATGTACCGTTCATAGGGCGCGATCTGATTATCAATATGAACGGATCATTAGTGCGTCATAAACACCAATTCTCCGTTTTACCCCATTACTTACGCCCGTTACTCCTCATGAAGGAGCATAGGCCGCTCACCAGCATTCTCCATCCAACCCTGTCCTGGGCAATCCTTTCTAGCTCCGTCCAGTTGTAATTCATCCTTTTCATATCTGCTTCTATAGTCCGACGCAATGTGTTCTTTGGCCTTCCTCTTTTTCGCTTCCCTTCAGGATTCCAAGTTAGGGCTTGCCTCGTGATGCAGTTTGATCATTTGTGTAATATATGTCCTATCCATTTCCATCGTTTTTTCCTAATTTCTTCTTCAGCTGGAAGTTTGTTTGTTCTCTCCCACAGAAGGCTATTGCTGATGATATCCGGGCAATGGATGTTGAGTATCTTGCGTAGACAGCTATTTATAAATACTTGTACTTTCTTGATTGTGGTTGTTGTAGTTCTCCAAGTTTCAGCTCCATACAGTAGAACTGCCTTGACGTTCGTATTGAAGATTCTCACTTTGATATTGGTTGAAATTTGTTTTGAGTTCCATATGTTCTTCAATTGTAGGAATGCGACCCTTGCTTTGCCGATCCTCGCCTTTACGTCTGCATCTGAACCTCCTTGTTCATCGATGATGCTTCCTAGGTATGTGAAGGACTCTACATCTTCCAGAGTTCCTCCATCAAGAGTGATTGGATTGCTGTTCTCCGCTTTGAATTTGAGGACCTTGGTTTTCCCTTTGTGTATGCTGAGGCCTACTGATGCAGAGACTGCTGCTACACTGGCTGTCTTCATCTGCATCTGTTCGTGTGTACGTGATAGGAGGGCTAGGTCGTCTGCGAAGTCCAAATCGTCTAATTGATTCTGAGCTGTCCATTGTATTCCGTGTTTTCCTTCAGATGTCGAGGTCTTCATAATCCAGTCGACCACCAGAAGAAAGAGGAAGGGAGAGAGTAGACAGCCTTGTCTGACTCCGGTCCTTACTTGGAATGCATCTGTCAGCTGTCCTCCATGCACTACTTTGCACTGTAGTCCGTCGTATGAGTTCCGGATAATTTTGACAATCTTCTCAGGAACTCCGTAATGTCGAAGAAGTTTCCATAATGTCCTCCTATCTA